GCTGTTAGGCAACAGGGAAGCAGATGAGTTGAGAAGCTGAAGAGTTGGGTGTCTTTGTCGGAGGATTTGATGCATTTAGAATCATTTATAATCATTTATATCCACATACGCTCCATCATTACGCGCCTTCTTCTCAGATTCTGAAGAGCCAGCTGCGGTCACTCCTGCCCGAAAAAAATCCTGGATCAACCGATCAGCGCTTCAGGAGAATTCCATCAAAACAAACGGCAATCAACTTTGAACAGGAACATGAGGAACAAGTGCACGACATGAGATGAAACCATGTGGCTGAGAAGTGCAGATGTACTGCCAAACACTGCTCTTTTTGGTGCGTGATTGCCGCTGAGCTGCAGGTTTGTCATCAAACTTCAAAAGACGGAGCCTGCTCACAACGTTTGGTACTTGGCTGTTCTGGATTCAAGTGCCTGGTTTTTTGAAGCAGATGCAAACACAGGTCGTGTTGTGACGAGTTGCGCAATGCAACGCCCAAATTGGGTGTATGTGAAAATACGGTAATATGTATACATTGGTATACCCTCAAATGCCTATCTTAATGGGGCAAATGATGATAAACCAGTGGAGTTGAGGCAGTTGAGGGTGCCCAATCTTCCAAACCCAAATGCTGGCACCGTTAACTTGGGTGAAATCCATTCCCCGAACTTGTCCACTTGCAACGGCTCAACCAACAAGCTCAAAATTGAATAGTTTCAATTTTCAATTCCTACCAATCACCAGCCGTGGACCTCAAGCCAGAACTGAAAAAATGACATGTTACGACCGTAAATGCTGATTATCCATTAATCATGATTATCCCTTATCCCCACGTTCCCACTGTTCGATGTAGCCGTGTGTGGTCAACTTGTTGCAGGTGGGTTATCCACAAAAGATCACCCGGCAGATCTGGGGCGATCGAAGATTCACCGACGTTGAGGCCATGGCTGATGCTCAGTAAATAGGGATGGGTCAAAACCTATTGCCATATGATGCCATATGATTGTGGGAATAACCAGCTATACTAATGAGCTATTTTATGGTAGGGCACCAGGCTTTTGATCCACAACCGAAGATTCCCTGCTTTCTGCCACAGGTGATTTGTGGTGAGACTCGCTTTCCCGTTCACAGGGTCTGGGGCCAAGCCGATGGCGAAATGTTAGTGCGATGGAGGTAAAGTGGCAGGCTAGAAGAATTGCAATGTTGTTCACCTCGTTGCACAAATGTTGGCTTAAGAATTGTTGACAGTATGATCAGTATCTTATCCTGTCTTCTTGGCATGATGGACAGTGGCTGCTTTGTGTTGAATGCAGCATTGTCTGATGCTGTGCAGCACGGATTCTGACAACCTGAAAGAGATCAAGAAATGGTCATTGATATTCATTGATTGCATTTGTAAGGAGTTCAATGCGATCTGAGTGAAAGGATAACATGAAATCTATTGAAATCTGTGCTTAGAGCGTATTGTAAAATCATAGCAGAACACTGCCCGTCGTACTGATAATCTGATACGACAGACTGCAAGTTTCGCGTGCGGATTTACCGATTTACTCACCATGCATCATTCCGTTACGTTTTTGCACGGCCCGAAGCTATCTCGAAACCCGAAAAAGATAGACAAACAAAGAATCGCTAAGTATACATGTTAGATTAGTTAAGTAATGTTAAGTTAAGATAAATAAGTATATATATATATATTATTGTATAATATTATATATTATATGGATTTATATTTGCCATCATACACCATCTTTTGCTGCTGTAGGCAGTGCTGGCAGCCGCCTCGGAAGTCTTTGCAGCGATGTTGGACTCAGATATGAAGGAAAGTCAGGTGCGACCACTGGGATTTTTGTGGTTTATAACATGTTCATACATTTTATAACCATGAATCACCATGGTAATTATAACTTTGAACCCAGTTCATCCCAGTTGTAGAATAGTTGAATACGTATGAGCACGTCATATATATATATATATGTATGTGCGGAATATATTATGCCGTACCGTATATATTATTATCTGCATATGTCATAATCACACATACATACATACATATATATAATTATATATATAATATATATATACTGTATACTAGTACTGTATATGTATGGGTCTTCCTAACTGGAAGCCCATTTTTCAGCACTAAGCTCCTGCATGCTGCCACGTCCCATCAGTTCGCATAGCAAATGGACCATCAATGCCGATGTGTTTCAGTTTGTTTCAGGAAACAGCCTAGATAGATAGCATATAGATAGCTTCCACTATCTTCAGAAGAAACAGCAGGTGGATTCCAATCTTATTTTTCTCCTGCTGGACCATTGTCATCAATAGATGACGATGATGATGATGATGATGATGATGATGTCATTAGGTCAATATTATCCATTCTCAAGATTCACTTGCTGATGATATCATCTATTTGCATAGTGAGGGTGCCAATATGTGCCAATATTGGGTCGGTGCACTGTGAAGGCTCGCGAGATTCTGATCTCTGATGCTGACGAGGAGGCTCCTAGATGAAAACGAGCAGAATGCCTCTTGGGTGGCTTTGAAAAAAAAAGGACAGAATTGCCCTCCGGTCATTTAACACATGGATACACATGGACAAATCCCCACAAACGGATCTTTTAATGAAACGGGACATATTTTTGGATAATAACTTCATATGTCTTCTATAAATGGTGGATTTCCCATTGCCATGTTGGATTGTTGGTTTTTTTGTTACTTGTCCATCCCATCGAGTGTCCGCCACCTCCAACTTCCAACGACCGAGTCCGTGCAGCACATGCTGGAATACATCTATACAGGCTGGTTTTTCGACGTTGCTGAATTTTCAGTGGCTTAAAATGGCAAGATTGAAGTCTCATCTATAGGAAGGATACAAAAAAAACTCGGAACTGCCATATGAACACACATTCCTTGGAAAAGTGCGTGAAAGGTATTTTCCAATGTATACAAGTGACTAATTCTACTATTTAAATCTAATTCCCAGTTATATAATTATTTGTTTAATTGAAAGACACAACATCATCCAATCCCCGACTGCATTGTCTGGCCAGTCGTGGTCAGTCGTGGTCAGGCTGTGTCGCGGAGAGGGCCAGTTGTGGCATGGCTTGGCACTTGGTTTCGATAGTTGCTGTGAGGACCCCAAGCTAGGCACCCCTCCGGACCAAGACTTCCAGGAGAGAATGCAATGGATGTGCTTTATTGTTTGATATATTTCTGTGGTTTTTGAATTTTGAAAGAACTATTTCTGTGGTTTTGAATTTTGAAAGGACTACGAATTTAGGCGTATTGAGAAGGACTTACGGAGTCAAGAGGAATTCTAATTATGTTGGAGGACCTTTCTGTCGCAAAGATAATTGATATAGTTTCATGGAATCAGGAAAGATACTGTGTATCTTCAGTTTGACAGCTTGTGTCTCCGAATTTCAATGACCTCAGAACTCCAACAAAATCCGCTCACATGGTGTCATGTGGTTGTTGGCATGTTTGATTTTTTGCGGCGGTGTAGCCTTTAATAGCCTTTAGGAGGTCCAGCATTTTTTGGAGAACCAACCCATAGCCATTGCCCACAGTAGTTGCAGCATTTTACCCGCCCTGAGATCGTGCTTGGCCATAAGTATGACATCCCGGGCTTGGTGGAATATGCTTCCCCAGTGGCAACTTGCCGGTTGTTGGAGCTGGACATGGAAACACAGGGTATGATGATGGTGGTGGTGATTCATGGGAGCTACATGGAGGTACTAGATTATATCGCGTGAGGACAAAGCCACTTCTTCAGTATTTTAATCAGCTTGCGGTTTGCATCAGGGCCTTCCTTGGAATGAGAGATCAAATTCCAAAGAACTCGCAAAAGTTCAACGGTGAAAGCCTTGATCCTACATGATCCCTACTCATTTTCAAAAAAGGAAACATCACTGCAATTCTCATCGAAATCCTGGGGAGATCGCCCCATGGTCGCCCAATCTATGTCTGTCCCGTGAGGCATTGGGCAACATCACACCGGACAACTGTGTAGGTCAGGTGAGAATCCTGCGTGTTTGGAGCCTCGGCACATCTCGAGTAGTGGACGATGATAGACCCCTGGATTATGAATAGATCCACTATAGATCCATTGCAGATCCGTTATAGATCCACTATAGATCCATAGATTCATTATGATATTATGATTCATTGATGTTTACCGGGTCCGGATGCGAGGCCTATGCCGACGACGAGCGACTGGGACCTGTCTTCGAGGCACATGAGTCGATAGATCTGAACAAATGGGGATTTGTATTGAGAAACACATTCCAGTGTCACGTCCTTTCCATGCAGCTGCCAGGTGACATGTACAGTCCTTGCTCCGATAGACGTCTTGGGCACAAGTAAAAACAGGATAGCCTGTGCTGTGACCGCGCTTCGTGCGGTGTTTGCCATGTTCTAACCGTATCCATCCACTCCGCATTTCATCCATTTTGTGCTACAGTGGTAGCGGAGCCCGGTTCAATCCGGGCTCCCTACCGGGACTACCATGGATCCAATGCAGGACCCTCATGGCGATCCTTGGAATCAAGCTGCTCGGTCTGGCGACGCATCTATGAGAATGGCATCGACCAGACCCAGCTCTTTTTATCCATCTCCATCGCCCGCATGGAATAACTACCGTCCCGGTAGTGTGAGCTCACCATCCAGCGTGCTTGGAGGAGAACACCAACAAGGACCTCAAAGCAATAGCGCTGGATGTGTTGGAATGATGCCTGGTTCGATATCAGTGCCTACACCTTTGATTGGAGCGACGAGCCCAATGATGAGTTTTGCCGCAGGATCTAGCAATGTGCCTCAGGCTCCTTCGGCAAGTTTCAGCAACCCAGGTTCCTTAGGAATGTTTGGGAATTTCACCAATGTTTCACAAGCACAGTTGGGATCTCAAATGGGATATAACCCAATGCAGAATGTTGGATACCCCCCAAATGGGGGTCAGTCAGTCACCACATGGCTCAGCTAGTGGGAACATGCCTCCAACAATGACTGCAGTGCCTGATGGGAATGCTCAACCAGCGCCTCTGTTTGCAAGTGTCCCTGGAGCTGCATCAAGTGCGACAACAGCGCTGGGCTTTTTGAATCAGTGCAATGTGCCTCCAGCGACACCTCAGGTAAACAGTGCTTTCGAAATGCTTGGACGACCACCAACGAGCCCTTCAAAGACTGTGGAGTTCAACAAGGAGGAGACAATGATGAAGGCCTTGGTGGCCGCGTTGAGCGGAGACCGCAAGTTGCTGCCTGGTTGGAATGGTAACGTGGAGACCTTGCGTGGATGGCTGCGCCAGCTTTCTCTATGGGAGCTGGATAACAACCTGCCGAAGAACAGATGGGGTCTCAAATTGCTTCAGTCGTTTTCTGAAGGGTCTGCCCCGAGGAAGATAGCTGAGACGATCGATGTGTCTACGTTGACTTCAGATGCTGGCTACGGAGCGATCCTTTCAGCTATCCTGGCAAAGTATGCACCCTTTTTGGAAGCGGCTGGACCAGCCTCTATCGAAGCTTTCTTCTATGGCGGCGAGCGATCCAAGCAGGAATCCTTCTCAACCTATGTTGCAGCCAAGGAGGTCGCTTTGCAAGAGTTGGAAGCCAACTTAGGTGAACGGCTCCCAACGAAAATTGCTGGTCGAATTCTCCTGCGGCATGCAGGTCTTTCAGACACTCAACGTGAGGCAATGGCGGTGAAGTATAACTCCATGATGACCTTCGAACAAGCTTCAAGTGCACTTCGTCCTCTTGATCGTCCAGAAGCTCTTGTGACGAAAGTGGCCAAGACATATATGGCCGCGACAAACAATGAAGACCTGTCAGAACAACCTGATGGGGATGAGGACGAAGAATATGACAATGAGGAGTTACAGCCGGATGATGATGGCTCAGGTCCAGAGAGCGATGGCAATGGGAACCTGACCTACTTGCTCTACGATGCCAATGAGGAGTTTACTGAAGAGGAGACTGCCTATATCTTCGCCTACAACTCAGCATACCGAGATGTGCGTCGTGAACTGCAGGCGAGGAGAAAGGGCAGGCAGTTTTTCAAACCTCGTGGAAGTGGTGTGATCAAAAAGGGCAAGAACAAAGGACACAAAGGCCAGTCCAAGGGAAAGGGTCATTCAACCTCTTTCCGAAGTGGTCAAGGTCGAGGTCGAGGAAATCGTGGAACTCCTGAGGAGCTCATGGCCAAGACAAGATGCTTTTCATGTGGCCAGTTGGGTCACATGAGCCGAGAATGTCCTCAACGAGGTGAAGGCCAAAGCTCAAATTTCTTTGTGTGCCAAGGGAGCTCAGGTGTTCAGAACCGTGTCTACGTCAACATCTCTGAGTCCAAGGAGAAGCAACTCTCTGTGTTTGCTGGCGTACAAACTCAGGGCCATGAAGCTGTTGTGGACACGGCAGCAGAAGAAGCTGTGATTGGTAGTACTGCAATGTTGCGCCTTCGAGAACAACTAGCTCAACATGGTCTTCAACCAGTTCAGGCCAGTGGAGCCACGGTGACCTGTGCGGGGATTGGTGGCAGTGCAAAGATTGTTGGTGTCTTTGATATCCCAGTCGGGGTTGCATCAACAAATGGACTTTTGAGGGTGACTGAGATCACCGATGAAGGTTCCTTCAAGACGCCCTTCTTGCTGCCGATCTCCTACATTGAGTTGGTTGGGGCCACCATTGACACCAATCGTGAACAGTTCATCTTGCGCAATGGCAAGAGCACTCCAATGAAACGGGTGCCATCAGGACACCGCACTATCTCCGTTATGGACTTTTTCAACAACAAGTGGATGGTGCCGGATCAATTGCGCGCTGAACTCAATCTCAAGGATGTGAATCCATTTCTCATTCCAAAGAAGCAGATGCGGAAGAATGTCACCTTTCAGCAACGACCTGGTGTTGCCGTGTGGATGAAAACAGAAGACCGACGTCATTTCATGGGAATTTTGAAAGGTCGCAGAAACACCTTGGTCGACCCCAAAGAAATTTTCAGTGCTGCCGTTTTGACAACTTTGAAACCATCACGGGTGACAGTGGCTTCATTTTGTGACAATCCAGCTGCAACGCCGTTTTCTATTCATGATTCATGGCAACACATCCAACATCGTCAACTTCCTTTTTGGTCAGGTGATGTGTTTTTCGAAACTTTTGCAACTTTTGCCTCTGTTGGAGATGTTGCACCCCATCATGCTGCACAACTTCCTGTCCCTGATCATGTTTGCGGTGATGTTCACAATGCTCTATCCTGCGAGGCTGCCACCATTGCGACCAACGCAAGCTTCGGTCATGCAGTGCAGGACCCAGGGCAATCAAAATGTGGGGATGTGCCATGCGGTTGTCAACAACATGTCAAAGATGTCAAGCATGTTCACTTCAGTGATGCAATTGATGATGTTTCAAACATACCATGTCATGCAGTGCAAAGCGTTGGAGTTCAGCCGGCCGACATCGGCAGCAGCAATCGGTCTCAAGAGTTCCAGCTCGCTGACCGACGTGTACCTCAAGTTGCTGATGCCTCCGAAGACCTTGCAGGATCGAGTGGCAGCATGGCTTGTGGCAGACGACCAGGAGATGGCAGAGTCTCCGGTCAGGGCTCACCGCAGTGCCCTGCAGAAGATCTATGCGGCTTGGCGCCGAATGATCATCATGGTCTTCCGCACCTACCTGGAGATCCTTCAGCAGTCTGCAGCGGACTACCTGGTGAGCAGAAACCAAGGAACAGTCGTGTCCCTGCCCAAGCGCGACCAGCCTGTGGACAAGAAGTCAACCAAACCAGAAGGTCGAGTTCGCAGGGGAATCGGGCAACCGCTTCCTCGATCTACAGCCTCCAAAGAATGGCAGTACGAGCCTTCCAGCTGTGCGCACGCCGAAGAAATGCTGCGCCAAAGGGGCTCGAAGCAGATGTTTTGGTGGACTTGCCTTGGATGCGGAAGCCGCTGGCAGAGATTGGAATGGGAGATGGACCAGGTGGAGAACGCAAAGACATGTGCAAGTTCATCCACCGATCGAGCCAAAGTGAAGGAGCAGAAGGTGACCGCATCCTCCAGTGCGACGTACCCTGCAAGACTGCCTCCACCCAAGTCAAGGCCAGATCTGAAAGCCCTGGTGATTCAAGATGCAGGAGTACCTCAAAACCTGATGCCACCTTCGCCCACGGAGGAGCTCGACAAATCTCCCAAGGACGACATCGACAAGTCTCCGATGTCAAATCCACTGATGACTCAAGGACCAATCATGCCCAAGCAGAATGTGCAGATGACAGCGGATCAGGAGCTGGAGCACCGGATTCTTCTTGCTGCCGAAGAACGTCGAGCAAGCCGCAGGAAGCTGCTCTCAGGAGTGATTCCAGCCCAGTCCATGAGCCGTCCAAGGACTCCACATGGAACAGCAGCCACCGAAACTCATGTGCTGAACTCAAGCGAGGAGGAGGAAAGTCCACTGGCACTTCAGGACTTCAACATGGTGCCGGAGGACAAGTGAATGAGACGAAGCAGCAGAAGCCCAAGGACAAGTCGAGAGCAGCCTTGGGAACAGTTGCGAAAGCCGTGATGCTCTCCTATGTCGTGATTTGGTCTTGTCTTGCAGCTACAGAATCCAGGTTGTATGACCTGATGGGCTCACCTATGCCTCGTGACCCCAGCGCTGCGGAGGAGACCGAGAACGGCATCAATCCTTTTGCATTTTCCTTGAATGACAGCCTCAAAGAGCTGTCCAGAACTGACTTTGATGGAATGCCCAAGTTTTTGGAACGAGGCCAACGACATTTTGTTGTTGGAGCACTACGAAGCTACTTGGATGATGTCGGCGAAGTGTACTCGCCACCACGGATCACCAAGGAAGCAAAGAAGCAAGGCCTCAAAGGCCAGATCGCTCTTGACCTCTCAACTGGATGGGACTTTAGGCGTCGTGAACACCGACAACAAGCATTGCAACTGATAGCCAAGAGACGACCTGCAGTCTTGCTGTTGTCACCACCATGCACGACGTTCTCTCCATTGAGAAGGTTGACCAACAAAAAGAGAGATGCTGCTCAAGTTCAAGCTGAAGAAGATGAAGGTGACTTGCACATGGATTTCTCTGCAAGTCTGGCTGAGATGCAAAAGCGTGAAGGCAGAGGCTTCATACTGGAACAACCGGCACCAGCGACTTCTTGGAAAAGAACAAAGGTAAAAAGGCTCCTTGACGATGAGGAGGTCTACACCATCCGAGTTGACATGTGTCGCTATGGTCTTCGAGCTCAATGTGGACCTTATCAAGGGGAATTGGTTCAAAAGCCAACGGTGCTGGCAACAAACATACCGGAGATTGCAGCTCATGCCAACAAGGTGTGTCAGAAAGATCATCAACACGGTCTCTTGATCGGCGGCGCAGCAAAACATGCCGCAGTTTACACACCTGCCTTTGTCAAAGCAGTGGTGAATGGCATCAAAGAAGCTCTTGGAGTGAAGATGCCAAAACAACCACCGGAACTTCAACAAGCATTTCTCTTTGGCAAAACCCTCGGTGCTCAAGCTCAGATTTTTGCTGTGGATTGCCTTGAAGTGGATGCCGAAGTTGATTTGGCCTATGGACTTAATGGACTTTACCCTGAACTTCAGGAGGGCCAAGCATCCACACCAGCCCATGGACTTTTGCAGCCCGATGGACTTCGAACGGCTGCGGGGCTGGAAAGATCCGATCTTCCAGGATCTTCCACAGCAAACTTTCCAATCTCCATGGATGTTGATGCACCGGAGGAAGAAGCAGATGAAGATATGGTGGTTGAAGCCAGACGCCAAATGCGACTGGTGGGAGAACAACCAGGTGTTGCGAATGCCCTTGAAAAGATGGAGGACTTCCAGAAGACTGCCGATGAAGGTGAATTTTCTTTGGCTCCAAACCTCCGTCGAGAAGTTCACAGGGTACATCGCAACCTAGGCCATCCAGGTCTGGAGATCTTTGTGCGAGCTTTGCAGAATGCTGGAGTTCAAGATCACATTGTGGCCTGGACGAAACGTCATTTCAGATGTCCAACCTGTGATGCACGACCACGTCCAAAGCCATCCAGACCAGGCCACTTGATGCGAGCTCTGGAGTTCAACACAGTGGTGGGCGTGGACCTTTGCTTTTTGGATTTCAAAGGACACCAGTTCATCATACTGAACATGTTGTGCTGGGGAACCAATTTTCAACAAGCCAGTCTTTGCAAAGACAAATCAGCAGAAGAGGTTCTCAATGGACTTATGACCTGTTGGATCCAGCACTACGGCCCACCTGTGCTTTTGATCATGGATCGGGGCAAAGAATTCTACAACGACAAGCTGCAGAACACTATTGGCGGCTTGGGAGTTGGTTTGCACTACATTGATGCCCAGAGTCCATGGCAAAACTCCAGAACAGAGCGAGCGGGGGGAATCCTGAAGGATAAAATCCTTGCAACAGCCCAAGCAGCAGCAGCTAACACGGAAGAAATTCCAATGGTCCTATCCGAAGTGGTGACATGCCGCAACCGCTACATGGATCGATTTGGATTTTCTCCCATGCAGAGGGTTTTCGGCAAGAACCTACGCCTCCCAGCCAGTTTGATGTCCACCGACGCCCTCAACAGCGAGCTCACTGATGTTGCGGCAGGAGACCCAATTCACCGAGCCTGGCAAATTCGTGAACTGGCGTCTCAAGAATGGCTTCGACGTCAAGATCAAGGAGCCATACGCAGAAGCATCAGAGCTCAAACAAGAACCACAGACCAGGTTAAAATCCCTATTGGTTCCTGGGTGTATGTCTTCAGAGATTCACCATCTTACAAAGGATGGGTTGGCCCAGGAGTCACCATAGCAGAAGATCCGTCAGGGAAGTCCACTTGGATTTCGATGCGTGGACGACTTTGGAAAGCCTCACAGGAACAACTTCGACTTGCCACACCTGAAGAAGAGCTTGGAGCCGAGCTCATTGTGGAGCTGTCCAAAGAGATGCTGACGAAACTTCAAAAGCCTGGCCATGTGGTCTTTCAAGATGTTTCTAAAGAAGGTGGTCCCACCGACGACTACTTTGATGAAGTCATGAGAACTTTGGAAGTTCGAGAAGAAGGTGACCACCGGCCGAGTCAGCCACGTGAATCAAGCTCAACTTCAAGTACCGGCAGTACAACTGGCCAAACTTCGAACACTACGGAATCGGCAAGTTTGGGTCTGGGCAACACCGAAGAAGGTTCAAACTCAGCCATTGCGGCTGGATCTGAACAGCCCAGCAGACGTGCGAGTGCGCTGTCTGAACAAGTTGAAGGACAAGAACCTATGGAAGTGATTCCGGAAGAAGAGGCTATGGATGTGAGCCACAATGAAGCAAGCAATCCAGTCAGTGCACAGCCTCCCAACTCTTCCTTTGGACCTTCAACTCCAGCACGGACACGTCCAATGCCATACTCAACAGTGCCGAGGCCGAGAACGACAAATCCTATGCGAATGAGGGATGATGGAATCCTTCTTGACCAGCCAGAGACACCGGTGATCAATCAAGATTCCGTCACTGGCCCAACACCAACTCTGACGAATCGATCCTTCACACCGGCGCCATCGAGGGCTCCATTTCCATTTTCTTCAGGCGTACCATCACTGCCTCGTCCACCAGGACAATCCTTCTATTTGGAAGTTATTGACTTCGATGAATGTGCTGAAGAAGCTGTCACTGGTGACCGAACAGTTTTCATTGGTGCAACCTGGAGAATTGATCGTGATCGACGTCAGAAGACGCTACAGCCATTGATGGAGGATGGTGAAACTTTTGCAGGACCACAAGCCGAGGCGAGCTACTCGGTCAGAGATCGATGCATGTATGTCTCCAAGGCAAAATCTTCCTTTGGACAAGTTGAATTCTCCAAGCTGGAAGAAGCCGAGAAGATTCAGTTCAGAGCATCTCGGAAGAAAGAGCTGGAGAGTCTTGTAGCCACTGGAGCGGTGGTGATTCTTTCATTGGAAGACAGCTTGAAGTTTGCCAAGGAGACGCCAGAGCAGATCATCGACTCCAAGTATGTGGACCGTTACAAACCAGTAGCAGTGTCCCGCCAAAAGCTGGAAGAGTACAAGGTCAAAGCTCTTCAACAAGGTCATCTGCAGGCCATTGAACTGGAGACTGACGCCACAAACCCAAAGTCACGGCTATGTGCAGTTGGTTGGCAGGATCCTCAGATCATGGAGGTGGAACGTTCTTCGCCCACTCCTTTGTCAACAAGCTTGTACGCATGCCTCCAGTTAGCAGCTAGCAGAAGATGGAAGACCCGAGTGAAGGACGTGAAGACGGCCTTCTTGCAAAGCCTTCCAACAACGAGGTCCAAGCCCCTGGCATGTCGTCTTCCAAGGGACGAAACACCTGAAGGTTTGGATCCGAGGCAGCTACTGCTTCTCAAAACCGAGATCTATGGCCTTGTCTCAGGACCAAGCTGGTGGAGACGAACCTTGTTGAAAGTTGCAACAGAAAACCTTGACTATGTGGTCAACTGCTATGACCGATGCGTGCTGACCCTTCCTGCCAAAGATCCACAACCAAATGCTTTGAGCGAAGGTTTCATTGTCATTGAGGTGGATGACATAGCAGAAGCAGGCAGTGAGGAGCACATGAAACGCATGCGAGAATTGGAAGCGACATTGAAATTTGGGAAGGTGGAAGATCTTCAAACTGACCAAGGCACAAACTATGCTGGCCGCTTTTTGAGACAGCTCCCAGATTTTTCATTTGAGAGCAACATGGACGAATTTATCTACACGCGGCTGGAACCGATTGTGCCACAGCGAAAGGTTTTGAAGAAAGATGCAAGCAAAGTGAAGCTTTCGGAAAGCGAGAAGACGCAACTACGTGGGTTGATAGCCTCCTTAAACTGGGTGTCACGTGAAGGAAGACCAGATGCAGCTTCAGCAGCATCAATTCTGGCCTCTGCATTTCCTGAGCCCACCATGGAGCACATCTTCGAAGCGAATGACGTGGTGAAACATCTGAAGACTTTCCCGGTAGTTTTGCGGATCCACGCCATTCCAGAAAGTAGATTGCGCCTTTTGTTGATTGCTGATTCTGCCTTTGACACCAGTGGGAAAGAAAAATCACAGCATGGTTGGTTGCTTGGTTTTACCGATCCGACCTTGAACCTTGGTGAAAATGCCCCGGTGTCATTGGTGCAGTGGCGTTCAAAACGCCTCCGTAGGAAAGCTTCATCATCTTTGTTGTGCGAATCAATTTCACTGTCGGCTGCGACAGGTGCTCTGGAACGCCTGGACTCTTTCTTTCAGAGCATTTGCCAGTCAAATTTCAATCCTCGTAGGAAACAACTGACCGAAGATCAGTATTTGGAAGCCTCTGGAAAGGCGACTGTCATCGCTTCCGACTCTGAAAGGTTTCAGGACCCACATGGTGTTTGTGTGATGGATGCCAAAAGTCTTTTTGATGCTTTGTGTTCTGAACAAAGTCAGGGAGAAGATGACAGAAGCGCATTAGAGATAGCGATCATACGTGAAAGCCTGTCAGTCTGCAGAAGCCGGCCACGGTGGGTCCCTCACAATTGTAATCCAGCAGACAGTTTGACGAAGGTTGCTGGGGGACACCACGAACCACTGTTGAAACTGTTGAAAACCAGCCGTTTTGTGATTGAGGATGAAAACGTGGTTCTTAGCCGAGAAAAGCAGTCTGACAGCAGAAGAAAATCCAACATGCAGCTCCATGGAACAAGAGTTTTGGGGACTGAGAAACACATTCCAGTGTCACGTCCTTTCCATGCAGCTGCCAGGTGACATGTACAGTCCTTGCTCCGATAGACGTCTTGGGCACAAGTAAAAACAGGATAGCCTGTGCTGTGACCGCGCTTCGTGCGGTGTTTGCCATGTTCTAACCGTATCCATCCACTCCGCATTTCATCCATTTTGCGCTACAGTATGTTTAATATGCTTGACTGCTTGACTTATTTTGATGTAACAGTTGAATACAGTTGAATTAAGTCTATTACATTATATTACATTTATATACATTTATAGATATGCTACACTGTATCATTGTGATTTATTAAGATTCATTCTGTGTTATTGAGACATGATGTTCCTCTCCATCTTTGACAGTCATTGTTATTGCCATGTTTGGCACACTGCTTCCCAGGCGCTCTTGAACAAAATCCACGACAGTCCCAAGATCTTCAAGTCCATGATGCTTGGCATCTGAGGCGCCGATCTGCTCCGGAACATCTGGAAATGCACTGGAAGTGGGCCTGGCAGCAAAAAGGAGAAGACTTTACCAACAATCAGTTGGATAAATTTAGCAAAAAGGTAGGATTTTACGAGATTTTACAAGCAATAAATTGGGTTTGTTGCTTGCAAAACTTGCTACTGTGGCAAACATCGGGATTTGACTCGACCCACTCAATAAGGGACTTGATCAAGAACCTCTATGGGAAAATTTGGTTGCGACCCCAGGCGAACCAAACCCTGTAAACAAGGGTTAGTAAGCAAAACCAGCGGGAAAGTTGGTTTCTTTCTGGTTCAGTTTGGGACTCATTTGGAAGTTTGTCCAGATCAATAGATGAATATGATGAAGGTGTCATATCATTTGAAAGTAAAATCTACCAGATCATAAAGACACCTTGCCCGTTACAGGCATGTTTTAGCTTTGCATGAATATTTATATAGCCTACAGTAACGTGGTTGGTTCCTCAAGCTCAGTGTTTTTTTCACTTTGACATAATCAATTTTGCTGAGTCGTAACAATGTACGTTGCTTTTCGGGAGCAGTGGAGCATGTGTGGTAGGTATGATGTTTGTATGACACTTATCACGATGATGAACTCCACCCTGTCTCCTCCTCCTCATCATTTTCACCATCTTCATCATCTTCATCATCTTCATCGTCTTCATCTTCACCATCACTATCATCCTATCCTGTTTGGGAACTGTCCTCCAAGAGATTCACAAAGCATATCCGACTTGAATTGAATCCAAATCTGCTCGAACCCTGTACCGCAGGAAGTCACAGACCCCGCTGTGAACCGCACCACTGTACAGATGGACAGGGAAGCCCAGCCGCTGGAGCAACTGAAACCTGACTCTGGAAGCTGGTTGCCTTAGGCTGACATGTCCTTTGAAAAAATCAGTCCTTCAGTTAAATCATCAACTGCAGATTTCGGTAAGGTGTTTACCAATGTTTACCACCTGTATCTAAGATTTTTGTGGGGGGTTGGGAGTCACTCGGGATCAAATTCAGGCCCCACTTACCGATTGGTTGCTTTGGAATCCGAACCTCATCTTATTTCATTATGCAGCCCATGTATGCCCATGTGACTTTGTCCGAAAATTGGGTACTTGATTACTCATCATTTTTGTGTTAAACCCGTAGAACCCATTTTCAAACACACCATGCGCGAATCATATGTCATCAATCGTCATTAGTATTCATTATAATCCAATTAAAGTATATTAAAGTCCCAATTGTTTGGAAGTTGTCCTCCATTCTGTTGCATCAGAAGCTGCTTTCAGGCAACTCAGTGCACCAAGCAGCGCTCAGGTTCTCGCGCTCAGCGGCGATAGTTCCTCCATTTCCTGAGGCGGAATGCTGGGGATTCAGTGGGTTTGGAGAATCCACCCGTTGGTGGTTTAACGCTTTGCGAAGTGGACAATTTTTCAATAAAATCACCGTGTGTTGATAGGTACATCATCAGAAATGAATAGAAATGATGTATGAATGGTCCAAATGTTCCATGGCTATGTTAAATAATTAACCAGAGGGTATATAGGAAACCATAGTTGTTCCCATCGTTTATATTGGGGTTGAATAGATGTTTGAGATGACATTGTCATAGCCGTCATCGTTGTGGCATGTGATTGTCCAGCAGCCCAGGCTCTTTCAGTAGTGAATACCGCCAGACAAGATCTTTGGACTCTGGCCCTCTCAGGTTATCTCAGGTTTCAACGATAAAGTCGCCACTATGAATCTGGCAGAAAATGGAAAGACGCCAAGGTTACCATCAGATGTGTCGCATCAGCCAGTGTCTCAAGTCTCACAGAGTTTGATAATGAAAAATCGGCAATGGCAGGCGGAGTTGGACAGGGCACTTACTATTAAATCTATTAACAAGGTGATTCGAAAGGTGCACATAGGTTCTGTTCTTGCTCCAAAAACGGCCATAACTTTGAAACAAACCCGGGATGGAAGATGGCGTAATAAGTCGCCAGTCATGGAGGTGTTCTAAAATGATACTGTAAGTCATGGCCATGGGTTTCTTAAGCTCCTAGTCGTCAACCTGGATGATTTGGGGTAGTCATCCAAATTTTGGAGATATTTGGTTGTGGGTACTCTCCATTATTGGAAAGCTCCAGTCATGAAATACTCAGCAAGTGGAAGGGGAAGTGCTCTATTCACCGAAGCGGAGCTGCTCCACTGATTTCTATGCAGCCCTGAGCCACTCAGCCATGGACCTTCTGAAGGAACTGCCAAGCTCAGCTGGAACACCGGGGCGCAACAGTTCTGCATTTGACTCCCCCATGGCGTCCCCAGATCATCCAACCCTGCACAAAAAACAGACGCGAACGTCATGTTCATAAATGTTCATTGAGCGATTATATACCCTCTGGTTATGACTAACATAGCCATGGTATAGATGGCCCATAGAAATAGATGGTTTACCTAGGTATAAAATGGGTGATTTTCCATGGCAAACTGTTAGTCATAACCAGAGGGTAAATTGCTGTCAAGGATAGTAAACAACTGTTTTGGCTTCAGCATTTCTTTCAGTTGGTCATTCCATTGGCGTGATTTGTCCAAGACATAGCGAACAGATGAAAAGACAGAAGGCGCTTGCAGGGCAGTCGCGGCCAGTTTTTCCTTCTGTGGAATCAGTTGATGTTTGGATGATGGGAGGTGGCTGATTGCCCATCAAATGTCATGTATTCTTTCTTAGCATCATCCATATTCATCCATCGTTTGAAATGCTGGACAGACTATGAAGCCTACTGTATGTAGAAATCGTGTGAGGACAATGAAACCACTACTGATGCACCTTGTCATTCCACGGACTGCTGAATGTTGGTATTCACGTTGTTTCACTTTGTTTCGGTGTTTCGCGGTGGCTGAAGGCACTGTACAGAGAAAAGCACACAACGCGCCTCATGTGCGCGAATTACATCAAGCACCATGCACAATCGTTGTGTCGCTGCAATGTGATCGTTTGAGTAGCGCTGATAGATTCGTGGCATTCCAACCTTTTGCATCAATCCACTCCATCACTGTGAGCCATGACAACATGGAGAGAAGACCAGGACTGGGCTCTGATGTGACGAACGCGTCTCCACTTAACGCATTTGTGGTGCTGGCAGTCACTACTGGCATGTGCAACCAATGACAACTCAGAGCAATGCAAGACATGTGAAAGAAATTGAATTGACTGTTGCGGCTGTGTTGAGTGCTAAGTCACTGAAAGAAATTGCATTCTCCATTGCTCCATCGCTGGACCGGCTAACATGCTCACAGGAGCAGCTCCCTTCCATGATTTCAGCGGAAGATGTGACAGAGAGGCGAGCCATGCGTGCAGCACGAGCTTCAATGTGTTGTTTCGACAATCTGGCACTCGCATCCTTTGGACGCTGATTGCAAAGAACTGCAGAGAAACATATTACGCTGATGCTGAGAACAAAATCCAAGTGGATGATTCTCCTAAATTTAAATCATCAATCTCCCAATAGGTCGGTTTTCCCCCAAAGTCTTGTGGGTTTGAGGTACACCCCGGGGAAACTAAGGGGGGCAGCCATTTGCACATCATTTTTTCGCAGGCAACGCCTCGCGGATCTGAAGGATTTTCGGAAATACATGGCCAGACCCCTGGGAATTTCAGGTGTTTTGCAGGTTGGATTTCCAGATGATTAATGCCCACTTGACCCCGGTGATTGTTTGAAGTTATACTAGATTACTACTAATAGCTGGTTCAACAGGAATTATCAATGGATAATTAATGATCCGTACGTATGGATAATAGCACCTATCAGCCAACTAGTTGGTCAAAGTTTGCTGGTTGGTGCACGGGCAGAAATAATGGGGTGGAAGTGGATGGGTAGATAGTGGATGGATAGGATCTTGCTTCCGCCTTGAATCCATTTTGATATGGAGGGTATTGCAATCTTTAAGATCTGTAAGTCCAAGGTTGAGACGGGCTCTGTTCAGTGCTTGGTGAAGATGCCATGCCCTTAGCCGCTGACTTGTCTTTTTCTTTGCTCGATGTTCATCCCTTGACTTGTCAATGATAGTGGTTCTACTGTGGTAGACCCAGTAGTAAACCTGAACACAACCCATCACAACCCATTTCTAGTGAAATTGGGGATGGTTCATTAGTAGGTTTTACTGTACCTTGCCGCACCAGTGCTATTACAACCCCTGTTTGCGGCTGGGCGCGTCCTGCCAGTATCTGCCGGTAGCCAGGTACAAGCACGCGGTCAAGCACGAGATGCGGCTTGTTCAGCCGGCCTGTTGCGGTCTGAAATTTTGGGAAACCCATAGGTTTTGAAGTCCCCAGTCTCTGGACATACAGCTTTGATGCTGAATTGCCATGAATTGCCAGGACAATCCCAACTTGGTGACACAGTTCTTGGCTGGATACACTGACGGGAATCCCGACGCAAAGGCGCAATGAGTCAACTGAGGGTCGTCAGCCGGGTCAGTTGGGAGTGGAAGGAAGAGATGAGTGAAGACATGAAAACAGTCACAGTGCAGCTGATTTTTTCGTGAAATATTTGAGCTTCACTTGGCTTATGCCCAGATGGTGGCATCTATGTCTCAAGACTGCGGACTGCATGAATCGGCAACAATGGTCTAAGTTGCCAGGGGAAGTATATAGACCCAGTGTAACGAGTGGTGCATGTGCCCAAATAAACGGACATGATTGAACGATATTGAAGTGATATGTTCGTCACTATTTTCCAGGGTGGATCCAAATTTCTACTTGGTGATCGCAACTAACATAGCTATGGAAAATGGCCCATTTATAGATGGTCTACTTATTAAACATTGTGATTTTCTATATCTTAAATTACCAGCGGGTATATGATCTCCTGGTTTTGCATGTCCATCCACTTACTCTCCACTGTATTTCAGGAGATCCGACAGTTGCAGCGGGAAAATGCAGGGGAGCCAAGCGCACAGCACGTGCAGCACTTGCCATTTTGGGACACTCAGGGCTCAAATGCCCATGCCCATCGCGAACAAGATTTGATGGGATTTGATGGGCTTTGTTGGGCTTTGAGTATGGTATACTAGTTCAATCATGTTCAATCTATTTCATGGGATCCAAGAATTTGTTTTTTGATATGATCTACTGTGGCATCTAATACGATCTATTAATGTCTAGTATTGCCTTACATAGCTGTAATCACTGTCATTGCTATTTTCACTATTGTTTGTCAGATTTTATCAGTACTAGCGCTATTCTGACTGTGTTTATTCGTCTTTTAATTGTTCTCATCGTCGTTGATTATCAACTCATTATTGCTATTGTTGTAGCAATTACAACAAGGGCCCATGAAAGATTATTCATTTAAATTCAATTTACGCGCTGATTTCATTTTATCACTATATAATACTATATATATATGATATTATATGATATAATATTATATATACATATCACTATATTACTATATGTTCTTTGCTATAGATCACTGTAGATTAGCATCTCCAAAGTTTCCGCTGGCCCCATTTCTGCCGACCAAAACAGGCCACCCTGGAGGAGTACAATCGGGTCATGGAGCTCCAGGTGTCGCGGTCCCATGGAACGTTTCGCTGTTTGTCAGTGGTTATAACAGGGTATTCTACTCACCAATATATGTATATGTGGGTATGGATCAATACCTATTAATACCATTTTTAGTGGGATGAACATGGGTAAATGAATGTTGACTGATTATGAATGTTGAATGAATCTGGGTAAATTATAACGACCTCACTGTTCGACCGAGCCCTGGAAATCATAGTAAGGGGAATCATCCCTAAATGGCCCAACAATTCAGGTTAGTGAAATATTCTAATTTGCCCAGATATATGTATATGTATGTAGATACATATACTGGTTGGTGATTTGGAACATTTTTTTTATTTTCCCCAATAGTTGGGATGATGATCCAATCTGACTAATATATGTTTCAGAGAGGTTGAAACCACCAATTAGTATATATATATATATTAAATATATATATATATATACATAATATATATATATAGTATATATATAGTATATATATATATATATAGTATATATATAGTATATATATATAGTATATATATAGTATATATTATGTATATATAGTGTATATATATAGTATATATATAGTGTACATATATATATAGTATATATATAGTATATATAGTATATTATATATATAGTATATTATATATATAGTATATTATATATATAGTATATTATATATATATTGCGGACTGTCATACTCCATGAGCTACCAGTAGGAGAAGTGGGTATGGTCGGAATTAAAGACCTGTACTCCAGACATGGGACATGATTATTTTTAGCATCAACCATCCAATTATTGGGGTACCCTTTTGACTTGATCCATACTTAATGGTGTTTTCAGACGTGTAGAAATTCAGCACTGAAAGGCATAGGGTGTGGTTTGGAAGCAACCTATTCAGATGCGGCCAACACTGAGACTCAGTGACTCATTTTCTTGACAGTTCATGACCAATTCCTTTACTTGAAGGTGACAATAAAAATTGGCTTAATGTGGGTATGCCTGGTCAGTGTTTGGAAGTCAAAAGCCAGATGATTGAAGTGATGCGCTTCTGACTTTGGACTCTTTGGACTCTTTGACTGTGGCTCAGCAATTCAAAGTTCCTGAGAGCAAGAAGATATGTATTGAAGGTTCCACCATGTTCCACCATTCCATGCCATTCTTCACAAAGCGCACTCTGGGAATGCTGCGGTTCCACGGGTGATCCCAAGAAGTGTTCTTCAGGTGGAAGAACTGGAAGGGCAGATCGAGCAGCAGAAGCGGCAAGGGACTCAGTATGAGTTGGCCAGCAGAATGATGTGTGGATGATGGGTTTATTCCAAAATCCACAGGACCTTTTTGGAAACCATGGTTTTTAACCAGCAATTGTGGGATAGTGGTTCAATGCTATCCGGAGTTGTGTGCTGTTGCTCCCCAATCTTCCCAAGTTCCCATGGGTTCCCGTGGGATCCCGTCCCATGCCCTGGTGCTGTCCGGAAGCCTCCAGGTTCAATCTTGCGAAGCTCATTTGGAAACTGATTTGCCAAGATTCCGATCAGGTGCGAGTGAGGATGCAAAATCATGCAAAATCACTATACAACCTGTTCATTAGATTCCATTGCTAGATAGAGCATGTTGGTGGTTATTGGGACTCCACATTTTTTGCAACCAGAGATATGCGAGAGATTGAGGTAAAAATCTAAATCAGAGACCTTAAAATCCAACGTTCGAAAACTTCCTTTGGTGATGAAGCCGCAGAGAACTCATCCACGGGACACGTGGCTCAGCCCCGAGGAAGACATGTCCTTGGACGAGCCAAAGACTGAGCTTTTGCCACACCAAGCATAGAAAAAGCATCAGTTTCTGCTGGGGATCAGGTGGGACCCCAACTGGCAGGATTCCATCGTAAAGCGGACCGAAGTCAGGGAATGTGAGGGATTTCACTTTCATGTTGACTCCATCAAGTACTTCATTCGTTCAGCACTGGTTCAGAAACCTGGGTCTTATGTTGACCCCATGAGACACTGAATTTCTTTGACAGTTGGACCCCTTGAAACCCTCTGCGAGCATCCCTGCTGAGGTTTTACATGCGGATGTGTGGCAATGAGGCAGCTTTGGGCGATATCATCTTCTGGGCACAGCATGGGTGGTTGCCAAGCGGCTAGATCCGCTGCACTGAAGAAACAGCTTCCTGATGGGCTTTAGATACCTCAACCCAAGCTGAAAGCGTTTAGTTGCTGGCTTCAACAAGCTGTGCATGCGTGCTTCGTGGTTTCAAACATGTTTCAGCGCAGGTGGAGCCTTCCACAAATGAAGTCTTGGTCGATTTGCTGCGGCCGGAGTTCTACAAAGACACGGATCAGGCGCATCCCTGGCCGATGCTCGGCTTGTTGGTGGTTGGTTCATATTGGTCTATGGATGTTTTATTTGGATGTTACTGTTTTTCTAAGATTGTATCTCGAGTCTTGAAGACGCTTAAAGAGTGAAATCCCTACTGACCCAGACAGTAAAGGAATGGCATAAGGCAGGGAGTTTACACTTCCGCCAGGAGGAAAGCGGTCTGAAAAAAACGGTACACCCGCAATTTTAAAAGATCCTGGATAATGATGACCAGTAGATTGACGGGTAACTTAATTTCTGACAAAGCCAGAACATTTGTGGTGCTCATCTTGGAAATCCTGAATTCCTGGGATATCCTTGGTGGACTTCCGACCTTGGTCTCCTTCCAATCCCAGTCTCGGAAGGCCACAGGAGCAAGGATATCCCAAGATGATTTTGCAAAGATTGTCGCCAGCTCAGAAATGCTCAGACTTCTTGCAGATTTCTGCGGATAGAAAAGTAGTCTGCAATTTGAAAGATGAAGCAACTGCTAGAAGTGATCTGGCCCGGTTTTCAACATACGGTGTAAGCTCCGCTCGATGTTGCCAGTGCAATAGTCATGTTATGTCATGTTGGTGATGTCCCTCTGTCATACATGATGCAACCAGTTCGGACATGGTATTTGTTTTGCTGTCAATTCGGATAAATGTGACTAATTATGGCTTAAAAGGGAAAAGGGAACAATGGGACCAACAACGGCGCTTTCAGATGCTTCTAGTTCTAAACCAACCAATTTGAAAGTTACCCCAAATTTGAGCCACGTCACTAGTCGTTATATCCTCATGTTTGTTGCTTGCTCAAAATCATTTTGCAATCAGGTGATTCCAATCGTTTGGGTGGATACATGGCGCTCTATGTATGACTATGTCTATGCATGCCTACCTACATACCATGATGCATCCACGCATCCGTCCACACGTATACATTATGTATGTATGTGATACTTAATACACGTATATACAGACACGTATGATGTATGTACATATGTAATCCCCCGCTAGTGTACCTTTATACAATGAAGCTGTGGTCGTCTATGGAAGTCTATGAAATGCTCTTTCGAGTATCATTCTATAAACCCAGGATTTGTTTTAAAAAAACATCGGACCAGCTCGAAAAACCAAGTTCTTGAACCTACCCTCTTCATTCTGTTAAAATAAATATAAAAAGTGTTTTTGAAACGTGGACACATTTCATAAAAACCAACATGCTCGAAAAATGGGAACACATCAACACGATAGCAACACGATAGTTTCTTATATTAATTGTTTGTAGATGTTTTTGAATGAGCATGAAGCATCATATTTCCTTCAAATCTTTAGACACATATGCTGACATATATAATGACATATTTGACTTAACAGGTCATATGTCATATGTAAATTATGTAAATAGATTAGACATGGTTGCGTAACCAGACATCCCAAAGAAAAGCAAACAATGTTGCACAAACAAAAACAATGCAAAACAGCGTTAAACATGCATGATCATGCTTCTGTACGGTGTTGTTTTGTTTTGATGAGCAAAAGCGGAATTGTGATGTTGTGGGAAAACATTGCAAAACATAGCAAGATCATGTAAACCCAACGTCACTAGAGAATAATTTTCTGGGTTACCCCATATACATCCTAACCCTTTGACACAGAAATTCATTCTATAGAGTATGTGCTTCGCAAGCCGCATGTGAAATTATGTAAATAGATTGGACATCACGCATGACCAGAGAAGGCTGATACATTCTATAAAAAAAATAGTGTTTTACTTCGTACAATGATTTCATTGTATAGACCTGCCATTTTTTTTTATCTCGCAGAATCTCAGATGCTTAAACTTCCCGTCGCGCCGTTTTCCGTACGTGCGTTTTGCACAATTTCATCATCATCAGGTCCACTTAAAGTTCATTTCGTGTGGGAGGCATTAAGCGTTTTTTGTTCAGCATGCACAAAATGATGTGGAAATTGGCTGGTGTTTTTGGAAAAAATCATATTTCGCTTGTGTTTTCATGCAATTTTGACCGAGAATTATGTGAAATTTAACATCGTTTGGAATAGGCTCTGCCCGCATAATATGTGTCATCGCATCAAAATAGGAAAGAGAAAACGTGGCCTGCGTGGCATATTCATCATCATGTTTGTCCAAAATTTGTCGAAATCAGTACGCATTTAGAGTGGTTTTACTTTTTTTTCCTTCTCGCTGTGGTGCCGTACATGTATTTCTTCAAAGTGCTGTGTTCCCAATGACAGCCATCACAACACAGTCTGCGCACTTTGTTTTCTTCTTCACTTTCGCAGCAAGTTGAGCTGGTTGATGGTCTTCGTGCGAATCAGAGTGAGGCGATTGACATACCTCCACTGGAACGCGCGCAAGTAAACCTCAATCAATTCTGATTGGCTTCCCAGCTGTTTTGGAATGAATGCTTTGCACCCAGTCCACACTTGGTCAATTGTTCCGGTATGTACTTGAATGACTTCTCGTCCTCGTCTCAGTTCACCAGTAAACTGGCCAGCTGAATGGTTCACCACACCATCTAGAGACAGACGCTAAGAACGTTATTACACCCCCCACCCCACCAAACCCATTTCACAAGAGTATGTGCAGAGACGTTCACAGACGTGTGCTAGCGTAGCATCCAATGCGTGCCAGCAAGTACGTGAGACGCTGCTAGCGTAGCATGCCGTCATAGAAGAAGGACGATCATCTAGAGACAGACGCCAAGAACGTTATTACACCCCCCACCCCCCCAAACCCATTTCACAAGAGTATGTGCAGAGACGTTCACAGACGTGTGCTAGCGTAGCATCCAATGCGTGCCAGCAAGTACGTGAGACGCTGCTAGCGTAGCATGCCGTCATAGAAGAAAGACGATCATCTAGAGACAGACGCCAAGCACGTTATTACACCCCCCACCCCCAAAACCCATTTCACAAGAGTATGTGCAGAGACGTTCACAGACGTGTGCTAGCGTAGCATCCAATGCGTGCCAGCAAGTACGTGAGACGCTGCTAGCGTAGCATGCCGTCATAGAAGAAAGACGATCATCTAGCGACAGACGCCAAGAACGTTATTACACCCCCCACCCCCCCCAAACCCCCCCATATGAGAAACGTCAAAAACCTGCATTTTACTAGTACGGTTTTCGGCGCGTAGGCTTAAACTTGCCGAACCATTCCATAAATATGTGCCCGATTCATTCCGATTCATCCTCAGGACTCAGAACCATTTTGTAAACCATGTCTTCCAATAGAATGCAGTCAGCCACAGGCTACTGTAGTGTACATTCACGGGGGATCATATGTATATATAATATATATATATAATATTATAATATATATATATACTGTAGTATTATAATATATATATATAATATTATAGTATATATATATATTACAAGTCATAGACATAGATCTTATATGTATACCATGTATTAACATGTATTATGCAACCCACACACACACACCAAAAAAGACGATCTTCCACCTTCGCCCAGATTCGATCCAGGTTGACGATCTCCCGGGCTCGTTACTTTCCTGGCTGCAGCAGGAGCTCATGCCCAGGCAATGGGCTTCTAATGGTATGTCTTGGTGAAATTTTCAGGCCAAGAAAACTTCCATGGAGTTTGTAGATCGTAGATTGGGGTAATTATCTGGATTAACCATCCTATTTTATGGATTTTTAGCGGACGTTTGGGGGTACCCAATTTTGACACATCTCCATATGATGAATGGCCTGACAAATTTTGGGACATCACCGAAGTGGCGGGAAAAGATCGGGATGAAGTTGGCACCAATGATTTGAGATGATACAGTTATGTTCATCTCAACCAGCCAGGGACTGGAAATCATTTGTTTTTCATTTTTTTCATTTTTATCATCATTTTTTTGGATTGAAAATTATCGTTCCCCTTTTATCCCCGTTAAGTTTCTTCATTATTTTTTCATTCCTGTTTTTCCTCCCTTTGGTACTTTCATTTTTCTTTCCTTTGCTTCGAAAAGGGTCCTTGGTCCTTGGGAATTGCCACCAGGGGCTTTTTCTCGAACCATGTTCGTTTCTTTTCATGTTGTTTCGTTTCTGTATTGTGTTGGTTCTTTTTCCTTCCTTCGCCTTGAAAATTGTCCTTGGAAATTATCAAAAGGTGTTTTTTATCGAACCCTTTTCGTTTTTTTTTTTTCGTTTTTGTATCGTTTTGGCTATGGTTCCTTCCTTTGCCTTGAAAATTGACCTCGGAAATTGTCAAAAAGCGTTTTTTCTCGAACCCTTTTCGTTGTTTTTCCAGATACAGGTACTGGATGTCATGTGTCATGTGTGGAATCGGGATGAAACGCCCTGGCTCTGTATGACTTTGTTGGAAATTGGGATTGAGGCAAAAGAATGTGTGAACTGTGCTGTTTTCACGCAGCATATCGCAGCATCCTGCAGGTAATCAGGATTTCGTTCATTCATGTTCATTCTATGCAGTCTGTTGATAAGCTGCTGCCTGCACCAGTTGGGATTCATGAAGCCATGATTTTGTTGTATGAAAAAGATTGAAAAATAATTGGAAACGGATGATGCAGCTGAAATGTTGTCGGCTTTTCTTCCATCAGTGTCACACTCAGGAGTTTTGTCTGCCAGGAGAACGTATCGGCTCAAGACAAGCGATGTTGAATCTGATGGCGCTCAGATTTTGCTTGCTGCTGGTGGCTTACACGGCCTTGGCCACCGAAGAGAAGGGAGCCGCGTTCTTGAAGGAGAAAGAAGCCGAAGAGGGAGTGGTAAAGCTTCCCTCTGGTTTGCTCTATAAGGTGCTTCGAAAGGGAGATGGACAGCATCATCCCACCAAGGATTCCCCTTGTGAATGCCATTACAAAGGCACCTTGATTGATGGCTCGGAGTTTGACTCCTCCTATCGACGCTCAGCTCCTACCACCTTCAAGCCCAATCAGGTTATCAAGGGGTGGACTGAGGCTTTACAGTTGATGGTTGAAGGTGATCATTGGGAAATCTATGTCCCCTCTGAGTTGGCCTATGGCAAGAGGGGTGCCGGTGCCAAGATCCCGCCAGATGCGGCGCTGGTATTCACCCTGGAACTGCTGAAGATCAAGGGTAGCAAGGTGGAGGCCAAGAGTGAATTGTGAGAGTCACCCCTTTGGTCGCAGGGGTGTGGACCTGAAAACGGTGGATTTAACCCCTGTTATGGCCACCAAATAATAGGGAACATGAATGAAAAGTTATGAAAGTCACCAGTGGATGGAATGGGGTACCCGGGTACCCTATTTTCAGACAAACCCAAAGAGCGAACTCCTCGGTCTCAACAGAAGGTCCGTGAACAGTGACAGCAAGGCCAAAAAGCGCACAGCGGCAGTGGTTGATGCGGGTGTCAAGTCATGAGATTCTCCGTATTTCTGTGCCCAAATGCAAGGCAACACCGAGAATATCCAGTGAATATCCATTGAATATGCATTGATTTCCCCTCCACAAATCCATTCAAATAGAATTTTTAGTATCTACATGTATCTACCATCAAAAAATGTGGGCAAGCCAATGCCATAAACCTACCATGACTGGGGATTGTCTGTACCACTCCTCAAAATTCTATAAAATTGTGGCTATTCCGCACAGGTTGGAGTCGGTGGAGCCTGGGGAGGCTCCGTTTCAGAAGGAGCTCATGAAGGCATGGGGAAACTGGTCATGGCTTGATAATGCTTGATATAAATTGATGGTTTATGCCATTTATACCCAAATCAGGTACAAATATGTACAAATGAACCACAAACAATGAAGATTTCAGTCCCCCAAATGGAGATGTGGATGATTTTTTTATTTGTTTGAACGATGAGTTATTAGATGCACTGTCAGCAGGGGCACGGACCCCCTTAGCGACTGCAAATGGCAAAATGGCAAAAACGATGAGTTACAATCTTCAGATCTTGAGGTGAATGATTCTGAGCCATAGCCACGGTAGATGAACCAAAAAGACAGATGCATTGGGTATAGCCCATAAATAGCAGGATAAGCTCGGATTTCTGTTATTTTCTAATATAATATAATATAATTACATTCTAATTAAATTGTTGTATATATGATGCAGCCCTCCCTGGTCCCCCCCTCCCCCCCAATGGGTATGGGTATACAGGAGCTATGTTCCCCGCCCCACCCTGTGGGTGGGTGGGGGGGTAGTAGTAGCAGCAGCAGCAGCAGTAGTAGTAGTTAGTCGTAGTGAGTAGTAGTTAGTAGTAGGAATGTGTATGGATATACAGGAGCTATGTTCCCCGCCCCCCCCTGTGGGTGGGTAGGGGGGTGGGGGGGGTTAGTAGTAGTAGTAGTAGTAGTAGTAGTAGTAGTAGTAGTAGTAGTAGTAGTAGTAGTAAGTAGTTAGTAGTTAGGAGTTAGGAGTTAGGAGTTAGGAGTTAGGAGTTAGGAGTTAGTAGTTAGTAGTTAGTAGTTAGTAGTAGTGAGTAGTAGATAGTAGTAGTGAGTAGTAGATAGTAGTAGTTAGTACTATTGAGAAGTGCTTAGTACTTGTTCGTAGTAGTTCCGCCTATGCGCCGTGTTCCTAGTTTAGTAGTTAGTAGTAGTTATAACGCACTTGGTAGTAGTCAGTAGTAGTTAGTAGTAGTTAGAAGTCCCCCCCGCCATGGTCATGGGTCAGCCATAGTACTGTCCCCCTCCCCCCCCTGTGGTGTGGTGGGGGTGTGGTACTGCCCCCCTCCCCCCTGTGGTGTGGTGGGGGTGCGGTACTATGTAAATATGTATGTGTATTATACAATGTAATACATCTCTATATAATATATGCTTATGTATTTATATATATACATATATTTGTATGTGTACATATATATATATATATGAATATATGTACGTATGTGTGTCTATACATGTATATATATATATTTAAATACGAATATATGTGTGTGTATATATATATATGTATGTATCTATAACATGTAAATATTTATATATATATTGGAAGTAGATACATAGCACATGTATATATGACTATAGGTAGCACGTAGGTACTTTGAGGGAGCATGTGTGCTACGTAGGTCGTCTAAAAGGTAGCATGCACCTAGTAAATGCGAGGCTGGTAGTCAGAATCGCTGCAAAAACCTAGCAAATACGAGGCTGGACCTCAGAAATGCTGCCAATAGCTTGCAAATAGAAGGGAAGGGGGGTGCTACCTGGGGACCCATACCTTTGGGGGGGGGGACCTCGCGGTCGGAAGACAGGATCATATATATATATATATTGTCTTATATATATTTTTTTCCTTAGATAGATAGAGATTAATGAAATGAACATGGCAAAAAACTACTGCTATGGAGACTCCCAGACTCCCACACCTTGGCAAACGCTTCGCTGAAGGCGATCGTTGACTCAGATTTGCTGCCGCATGATACCTTCCTGGTGCGCCAAGGGGACGTGGGAAGTATGTCACTTTTCGTAGGCATTTCTATGCAAACGTCTCGTACCCTCAGAAAATGAATGGTGAATAAGCCCTTAGTAGTGGTTCTTAATGGTTCTTAGTGGTGAATTTTGGTGAATAAAGCCGTAGTAAGAGCTTACTAGCCATGATTTTGTGTGGCTTTGCAAATGACAGGGATAGGACGGCGATGGATCCCCTGGTGCTTCACGCACAACTTGTGGCCCTTGATCATCCAAAAACCCTCAGTTTATTGAGTCCTGAAAATGCCCCCTGGCAAACAAGCAAATAACAGATATAATCTACACTATCTACATGTAATATGATATATGTACTTTACGACTTATACAGTAGATAGGTAGGTGATGCAGCTGGATAGATAAACAGATATAGACGGATAGATGGATAGACAGACAAAAGATAGATTAGAAGATTAGAACAGATAGAAAAACACATCTCCATGTGGAAACTTTTTCTATGAAATGGCCAGTTGGCGGAAGCGGTGCAGCTGGATGAACACTTGGTGGAACTCCTAGAGGTGCCACGTGGTGCCGGGACTTTCTGTGGAGATCAATGGAAGATCTGGAAAATGCGTGGGAAAGATATGGAAAACATATGAAAAAATGGGGAAATGGGTGTCAAAACCATTGTTTATGGCAGGAAAACATAGCAAAACCTTGATTTATACCAGCAAAAATGCGAACTTGACCTATGACAGAAGGCATGTTATCAAGAAACTGACCAAACCCTAGATGGTTCATGGGGAATCATCCCAAAAAATGACTAATCATCTCAGCTTGAATTACTACATTGCATGTACATGCGGTACTACGGAATTCAGCCAGAAAAAGGATGATTCCCCCTATGAAAGAGGTCATGAAATGATAGAAGCCTTGGGTACCCCAACTAATTACTACAAGACAACTCATAGCTTCGAATTGCTTGGGAGTTTTGTGGGGATGTCTGAGTGATAATGAAGTGAATCCGCAAGGGAACATTTACAGATCAGTCGCAGATCAGCAATGCACCGGTCAGCCTCCTTGAGTCCTATGCGAGGCCTTGTCCAAAGGGCCCAAGGTCAATGCCTCAGTCAGAAATCTGGCAGGGACACATATTGGTTGAAAGGTATGCTGCAAAGGGTTCAGGAGATAGACTTGGACAGCGTGTGACCATTTCTGACCCTCCAAATATCTATAGGGATTTTGAAGCCAAGTTCGCCCAAGTTTGCTCCTGAGGAAGCACCACCTGCAGCGATTGCAGAGGAGGCTGGTGACCGTGAGGGAGGAAGTGTACTGAGAACATGTGGTAGCAGGACCTTTGTTGCTGACATCCTTTGCCCCTGTCTTTTGGCTGCACTTCCAGACAGATTGTATTTGTGAATGTATCTGATATTATATAATTACACTTACGTTTAAGAAAAGAGTTATATAATCCCAGTCTTCGTTGTACATTACCCCACCCATGCAAGGTTGTAGTTAGAATACGTTCGAATCTTTGCATATTGTTATGATATGTTGTTGAAAGTGGTTGGGTGTTCTTACCCCTGTGTTCTCCTGCGCGGAGGAGGAAGAGTAAAGCCAGAAACTGAGATGGAACCCGACTGGATGATGTCAGTGTCATGCGCGTAAGAATGGCCATGCAGTGGCTGGCACTTCTATTTAGGCACAGCAAGGGATGCATGCATACGATGATTTTCCAGTGTGTTTAGCTATTCTGATCGCTCAAGATTTCGCTTCGCAGATTGGTCATGTCTCCAATAGGCCTTCCGAATATATCTATATATATATAGACGCTGCCGACGCGTTCAGTTTCCACTAACACTCAAAGAAATAATCAGTTTCTCACCAATAAGTCTCTTTGCCACCAATACTGATGTCTTTTGTCAACCAGGATTATTTTAGGGCCCCACATCCGTTGAACAACGGGATCTGCAAGGCACTTTGTCAATCCGTTACCTGAGGCCAGCTGACTGAGCCAGCTGAAGTTTCACCCACAGCATGATTGTTGTCCTAGGTGTTGAAGCCCACCCTCACAACTGAGGCTGTGGAGTGGGCCAATCACAACAACTGGAACCTATATAGATTAGATATGATTAGATCAAAACCACAGGCTGGATGTAGGTATCATGACTCCTCCATGTCGGTAGAAACAAATTGCCTAGGGTGTCTCTTGTTATGTCGGTCTTGTGTTTGACAGGCGCGTCTCACGAATGAGGAGCACTAGAGAGGCTAGAACTGTAGGCTTTTACGGTGCTGCCAAAATCGAGTGGGCTGCGCTCAGATTTTCACAGCTATTTACTAACCCTATGGATCACCCATCACCGACAACATGTCAGCATATGGTGGCTTAGTGACCTGTGCCAGGGGAGATCCCTTCATTGGTTACTGTACTGATGTTCATACTCTTTCAGGAACCAATAGGGCTACCATGTGCATCATGCAGCCATTCAAAAAATGAAATAGACGGCCCAAAATGTTGGTGGTTCGTCTCATCCACCGACGTCAACCTGGGGATGAATCAAAACCAATAATATCAGCTATTATTGATACATATTATAAGGATACCTAGATTAATGATTGATTTTAGAATATAGTGATATGCCTGAATCAAAATTTGGAATCAAGATGTATACACCAGCTGTTTCCAATGTGAACAGCAGCGTGCCAGGGTTCCTTTTTTCACTGCACCTCGTGCTTCGCAGCCGTTTGAAACCCCATCAAACTACACGGTCCTCCGGCCGTGTCGCCGCCAAACGCCGGCTTGACACGACCTCGAGGATCGGCTGGGTGGTGATGACCCAGAGCGCAATTTCTACTGTTCTATCCTGTTTGTATAAATATATATCATTAAATATATAGATATTATACATATAGTACATGTTGTTTATTCATTGATGTATATGTTACATGTCAAAAAAATACTGTATAACATATATATATATATATATTATATATAATTATATACACTTGCGGAGAATGTGTTCCTCTTGGCCTGCAAGCATTGTTGAGAAAGGCATTGTTTTTTGGCACTCGGACCACGTTGATCCAAGTTGTAGCCTGGTGACTCAATGGTGACTCAATATGGTGCACTCAAGTTGTAGAATAGAGCCAAGTTGTTTAAAGTTGATCCACATGGTTTTGGGGGCCAGAAATAAAACCGTAAAGCTTGAGGATGAGACGCCCCGATAATACTCCCGAAGTCATGTGACTAGTCGCTTCATATCTGCCCAAAACACAGCCAGGATGCGTTGGGTCTTGCTGCTTTTAGCGTCCCAATCCGTGACTAGTACTAGTGACTCCTGCGCAAGTCTGACCCTCAGAAAACACGACTACATTGGTGCCTTAGGACATTTGGACACCCCTTGGATTCATTTGACTCACCATGAGCTTGTCTGCAGTATACCTTTTAAGGCATGGCTTAAGATCCCCCTTTTGTTGTTCAAGGCAGCTGTCTCAGCGCGAGTCTGCTCAGGTGATGCAGGTTGTGCTGTGCCAGATGCTGATGATGCAACTGGCTTGCTCCAGCGCACGACTCTTGGCCCAAAGCTTGTCAGCACAGCCGAGGACCCTTGAAGTTGAGGCCAAAAGCCCCCAAGTTCATGCCATTTACAATTGTATGGCAGTGCAATCGCATCATTGCATCATAATGCATCATATATGATTGGTGTGTATTGGTGTGTATAATATGCTCTGTAATCCATGCTTTCAATAGTTCATATTTCTCAATCCTTTTCACAGTTTCATCCCGGCTGAGGAGAAGAGCGAGCGAGGAGCAGAAATTAGTGCATGAGATCCTTGGATGCATCGACGTGGCGCTTCCTTGGGAGTTGTGGGTGACTTGGGGATCCCCCATTTTCAGAGAGCCCCATTTTAAGATACCCCCATGTGTAAAGAATTGTACAGATGTGTAAAGATCCGGGAAATTGGGGAAGTATTCATGGTTTTTCTTGAGAGTTTTGGACTTCTATGCTTTTTCATGGTGGCCATGGCAGTTCTCGAATTTCTCGGTCAGAGGGTATGGTCAGATTTCTCCGTCAGTGATCTTCAGAACAGTGGGACGATCTTGATGTTGATCCATGCCACACAAAGACTGAGTGGCAGCTTCAGACATGGAGGTTTCCATAAATGGGGGTCCCCCCAGTCATCATCCATTTATAGATGGATTTTCCATAAAAAAAACAGCTATTTGGGGGTAACCCCATTGATGGAAACCTCCAAATGTGTTCATGTTTTCCATCCTTCCTGGGATGATGACATGTTGACGTTTTTCGAAGGCCAAAGGGGCATCCAAAGGCACGAACAGCGAGTTCCGTGGACTTTGGGCCCAATGTGATTGCTTCTTGCTGGCGATGAAGATGACATGATCCCATTATTGTCCCCATGATTGAAGAAAGGAGTACTATGGCTGAAGCCCATGAATTATTGGCAGTGTGTTTATTGATGTTTGGTTTGGTACTTGATAAATCTATGTAAATCTTGGTTGATCTTCCTTGGGTGGCACCTGAAAAAATTGAACGCCACCAAGATTGTTCCAGCGGGAGCAGCGAGTTCGGAGCTGCAGGACACCTGGCTGCAGGGCCGTAGGCCTTGATCCTGTCTAAAGTCACACAGGAATGAAACAAGTCTCATTGTCCATAACTGTTGGGGTTTGCCAACACGTTCAGCAAAATCATATAAAATCATGAACGAGAAAATACCAAACCCAGACATGAAACATGTTTGGGAGAGGATTGCATTAAAAAAGAACGCTGCAACAATCGCGCCGATGAAGTCTCTCTGTCTTCACTCAGCTCCGGCTGTTGAGGCAAAACTCAATCAGTTGTACGAGACACAAGCTTCTTGGTTCAACAAGTTGCGCATTTGGGTTTGTGTGAAAATTGGATACCCTACATTCACTGGTTAACAATATATAATGTTTCATCATTTTCCCTGCATTCCATGTAAATCCCATTTTCAGACACCAAGTGGCCTTTGGACCAAGACGGGGACAAGATAAGCCGGATAGTACTGGTAAGATAATCAAAGTCAATTAATGTTGGCTACTGATTAGTGTAGGGGTGACCCCCCCGCCCTCCCCCCCTAAACAAATTTAGGGTACACAACAGTGTGGAAATTTCAAGGGACCGTGGTTCACAATAGTATGAAATTATTGATGGAGGATTTTCAGCTTGATTTGACCATCCTGAATTGCTTGAGCTTTCTTGATGTCGATCTGCACTCATTCCACCTTAAGAGTCCTTAAGATGCAGCCAAACTTGCATGTGGTACTTGTATCCCATACGCTCCATGATGCTTCATGTAACGGAACCAGCATTTGCCTCATGTTTAGGGTAAAGGTTCTCAAATATTACTGAAAAATACTGCTGAATTATAGTTATGCTAAGTGTTTGCTTAAGTCACAGAGATCAAGCATGGCCTTGCAGCATACCCAACCCCCCTTCAAAACAATGGCAGTTTGCTGTGCTACTGAGATTGGCTGGGACGACTATGGCCAGTTCGGGAATCACCGGACGGCCGTGTTTCTGATGCCTGGGAACCACCAGGCCACCAATGATGGCGTCATGGATTTCAAGGGGCTGATGTTGAGCCATGAATTTTGGTGTGATGATGACGATTGCTAAGCCAATCTGGAGGGCCTGAAGAATCATGAATAAAGAACAACATTCTCTTTTGAGATTGGTGGCTGCGAACGGTTTTGCCACGAGTTTGCATAGTGGATGTCAGTGGGTTAGCCATGGTAGAATAATTCTTGTTTTTGCATGTTTTTGCCTTATCTTTTAACAAACCTGGAAAACTGTCAAAGCAGTCTCAAGAGAAGCCGGAAATCCTCTTCCCTGGTTGCCCAGCTTTTCTTTTCACAGAGTTGGTGGTACCATAAGCGGCTTTTCACAGAGTTGGTGGTACCATAAGCGGTTTTCTCATGATCTGCAAGTTTAACATAAGAGCACCATATTTTTGGGGGCTGTTCGCTTTGTGGCCGCTCCTGGAAACCTTTTACTAAAGGAACTACCTGCCTTCGACTAGCAGATGATGGGGTCACCAGTGGAGAACATGCTGTTCATTTAATTAACATGTATTCGTGTACCCATATTTTGTTTATTGCAATTACCAGACGATTTTCACAAGATAATATCGTAAATGGAGACACCATTGTTTTTTTAAACAATCGTTGCATTTAACTCAAGCTATCCGGAGCGAACTAGCTATGGCTGTATCCGTATACCGTACCAGCCATGGGGCTGGCTTTGCGCGGGGCTTATTTGGACTCAAAACATATTATGGGAACCCCCATAAATAAATCAACCACGCATGTTTGTGTGTTTTAAGCGTACCATGGTTTTACCCCATGAAAACTGATATGATGACACATTCCCACTACATCACCATATTATTTGTGATATTTGACATCATAAAACATGAAATATGTGAAACCTTCACCTGTTCGACCATGGTTGCTTTTTGTGCTGTAAACATACCATGTATTTATCCAGTAAATATATGTAAATAATACTGATAAAGATTGGCCTTTCACAGGTGTTCATGCATCTCACCAGCAATAAGTACCCTCTGGTAAATCAAACGTGGCCATTAAAGATCTCCAATTTATAAATGATGTTACCACTAAAGCATCCATTTATAGAGTATTTCCCAGCTAGCCATGTTTGATCACCAGAGGGTAAGGGTTTTCAATGTTTTTTCAATCACATATACCATTATGTATAATGAATTCCCGTTAAATAGCATATATCCCATTATATCCCCACTAAATGATTTTTTTGTTTTTCAATGGTTTCACAACACTCCAGCAATCAAGTTTCCTCCCAAATAAAAACGTAAATTTGCTGAAGACAATTGCTGATGTTCCCAACGGAAAATACACTATTTAGGGAACTCATAGAGAAAATAATATCCCAATTCGTTCCAATTCCTTCAAGTATCCCCTTCCAATATCATATATCCTATTATTATCTATTATTCTTATATCCCCAGTGACATTCCATGTCCCATCATGATTATATACCCATCAATATCCCCATTGTTGTTATCATATATCCCATTATATATCCATTAAATGACATTTTTTGTTCAATGGTTTCTCACCACTCCACAAATCAGGTTTCCTCCCGAAAAATCTGGATTTGCATGGATTTGCTGTATATGATTGTTGATGTTCCCAATCGAAAATCCACTACTTGGGGAGTTTGTAGAGAAAGACTTCCCCATTAAGATGCCATTTCCCCATCATGGTTATATAATGTTATATACCCATCACTATCCGCCATAATTATCCATGATTCACCCATTTTTTTGACCCCTGGTTGACCCATGGTTATCCCGGATTTCAGGTGGACATTCAGCTGCCTTACTACTTCCAAGTGCTCGGCCTTGGTGCGGCTCCCACGGAGACCGTGGTGTCACCGGGCGTGCGGGGCATTGGCCTCGAGGTGGGACGACAACCAGGCGCGACGATGAACATCGACAGATTTGGGGGTCATGACATGATCATAGATGTTTTAAGGGAATCTCCAACAGAAGGCATCCAGTGGGGACACATTCGAAGATATTGACTGGGGGAATATCCATCATTTTCCATCATCCAGCTCTTTTAGGGCACCGGTACTTGTACCAGGCTTTTGACCCATAACCATTTGCAGCTAAAGGTGATGAAAACTCGTGAGTTGAGCGCAGAAATTGCGAAGTGTGAGTTCACTGCACCAAAAGTTGAGATTGGATCACCAGCTCGGTGGCGAATTGCATGTCGAGTTTGATCTTATCTTGTTTGGAAGTTCTTATGCTTTGCCTAGATTGGATGAAAGTTTTGGGACTCAAAGCAAGGCATTTTTGGAATATAAATATAAAATGACCCCAATCATGGCTGGTTACTGGGAGATTTGGGGCCCTCACCTGAGTTCACCTGACCTGACTCCACCTGTCAGGCAATTTGCCCAACACGCTACCTGGCAGCACACGAGTTGATGGCTTTGAAAGCTTGTGAAATCAGATCTTTCGGTGCTGAAATGGACCCGGCCCGTTAGGGTGATCATGCGTGATTCAGCATTTTTAGATTGAACCCCAATGGAGATTTCCCATTGCCATGCTGGGATTACCAGATAGGTATCCAAATATATCCAACTTGCCATGGTCGTGTTCGGTGTTGTGCCGACCCGTTCTTGGGGTGAGCGCAAGAAAGCCACTGGATCCTATGCCATGCACCAGGTTGCTGGCATACATTGTTGAATCGTCTAACAATTGCTGATGTAACTAGCCTGAATAGCCACTTCATAAATTTGATGTGGATGTGAGACGCGAGTTGAAGGGACCCCCGTGGATGAAGGGAGCGATTTCTGATGCACAACATTTGACTCATTATCTATCATTATCTCAGTGCATTCTCTTGTCCAGTGAGATAGTGAGGATGATTCAATGATCTAAAACTGCAAACAAATTAAACAAAAAAGGTCACTTGGAAGCCACTTCAAAATCCGTTGATTTTGGACTTATGATACAATTCGGATTCCAACAGCTCAGTGTGGCACTCCAAAAAAAAAAGGTCTACTGAAGGAAAATAGTGTCCCCCAAATTCCAATGGAATATATATATATATATTATTATATTAGATTATATTATATTATATTATATTTGCGGTTGGGAAACCTGAACAGAGTACCACTGCACCCCCACTAAGGTCTTTTTAAGTTTTTCACAGTCGTTGAGACGTCCTCCGACTGTTGCAATGTGGCTCAAGGCTCAAGCCATTCAATTGGCTCAAGGGCCAATCAAACCAACTGGCTCAAGATCACCGAGCCCAACTTGGAGTGAAAAGGTGCACCTGCATCAGCCTCTTGGTGGGGTGCTCCGGGAAGGGTCTCGGTTGTAGTCTGACTTTAGAACCCGTGGGTTATGAGCCCAACCCCAACGCTGCCCTGAAGCCATGTCGAGCAGCGACTTCACTCAGCGTCGTCGACAAGAACATCAAGTTCAGGCGGCTGCGCATGCTGAAGAAGAACAACATGGGTCCCATGGACATGGAAAAGAAGAATGCGAGGAAACGGCAGACCAAATGCTGGATCGGCTTCTGGAGGAGATGGACACACCTGGACAAGAACATGGGGAAAAAACAGGGACAAGATCATCAGACTCGACCCGAAGATCGCTGACGGGAAAGGGAGTTGGAGAAAGGGGAATGGCACTGACCGGTGCTGGGGGAAGTGGAGCCCTAGCGCAGGTTGTGGCGGTCCGAGCTGGAGCGGGCGAACAAATTGCCCAGAATCCGGCTGTTGCGGAAGAAGTCGCAAGACCAGTGTCCTTGCCGCCTGAAGAACCTCCTAGACTTGTAGTGGTACGAGGAAAAGGGAATGGTGATTTGTTGTCTGGTTTGACCCCAGGGGTGAATAGTCTAACTCTTTCGGGAGTACCAATCGCGCAGACACCAGGAGTTGCCCGGATGTCTGAGAGATCTCGTGAACCACCTGTTGTGGGTAATCGAGAAGAAAGACAGGGTGGAAAACACCAAAGCTCAACTGAAGTGGGTGGAGGTGCGGCTGCTGTTGTAGAAACAATTGCTCTTTTGGAGCGACCGGGACGTTCACCTGTTGAATCTCCTGAAGATGCACGTGTCAAACAAGTGGTGCCAGCGGCGCCAACAAGTCCACCTGTGGCCTGCCAGCCAGCGGGAGCATATGTGGTGTATACCGCAACTGGTGAGGCACAGGGTTTGCAAGCAGCTGGGATGTCCCAGCAATCAATGTGTGCTGGTGTGCCACCTACGGGACTGGCACCTCAGTGGGAAACTGCAGTTGTGGATCCTGGGATGGTAACTGGGGTTATGGCTGTAGAAGAAATGAATCCCTGGAGTGCTGCCAAGCGAGTGGAAGCTCTAATGAGCAGCCCGCAAACTCCAGTGAAGGAGCCGACTTATCCCGCAGTGTCGCAAGACCTGATTGATCAGGCTGACGCCAGGGAGAAAGAAAAGTTTGAAGAGTTGAAACAACATGTAATGGAAGTCCTTCAGCGGGGCAAGACTGAGATCCAACAAGATCGAGAAAATTGGTTAGCCACGCGGGAAGGGAGACGTGCCCTAGAAAGGGTCCAAGAAGCAGGAGGAGGTCACAAGGGCTCTCAATCAAGTGGGAGGTCTTATCAAACCGCCTCTCCGGAGCAAAAGAATGTCGAGCAGTGTTTTCCTGTGGGGCCATCTCAAGGTGTTCCACCCCAAGGACAACCTGTACAAGATCAAACAGTTCCGGGAGTTCAACATCATCATGATCAGGATCTTCAAATGAAGGCGGGAGGTCCGTTGTGGAATGTGCCTCCTGCGCCCAGGGCCGAACCATGTCTTCGGCCGATGGATGTGTATATGAATCAAGGGTGGCTGAATGGAATACCACCGGGAGGTATGCCGCAGGGAGCGGCGTCAAGACCACCGATGGGAGCTCCTTGCATGGGAGCCACGGAAAACACAAGACACTTTTTCATTGGTGATCAACCTAATCAATGGTATAATCTTCAAGCCCAAGTTGGAGGAGCACCTGCAGGACAAGATCATCGACTTCATGGAGGCTTTGCATTTCCGGGTGGAAACACCGGACCTATGGGTGGTTATGGTTGGCCAGGGGGTCCACCGCCGGGGCAGTATGGAAATCCGGGACAAGCACCTGGTCCGCCAGGTGGTCATCAGGGAAATCCAGGTCAGCCAGGTGGTTATCAAGGAAATCCAGGACAAGCTGTACCGCCACAACAACAACAACAAGCTGTAGTCCAAGCAGGACCTCTGGCAGGGGGCGAAGTACCAGGTGAAACACTAAGGTCAGTCGATCTGCCGAAGCTTGACAGACATGCAACATCTTTGGACTTTGGAGACTGGCTGACAGTGGTCCAACAAATGATCGGGGATGTGAGCTACACTTCAGCACAATGGTGGGGAGTAGTTATGACTGCTGTGGAACATGCTTGCCATCACTGGTTGCAAGCGGATCCACTTATGAGGCTCCGGATGGCGCCTGTGATACCTGATATGGCCCGTGGGTGGCCTCGCACAGAGAACCGGGTGGTGGGTATGCTGCTTCAAGCCGTCCCCAAGGACATCTACGAGGACCTTGTGGCGAACAGACACATGTCAGCGGGTCAAGTCATGTTCAAGCTGTACACTGTCTTCCAGCCTGGAGGACAAGTGGAAAGAACTTCTCTGTTGCAAATGTTGGTGGACTGGAAGGGCCCATCCAATGATGCTGCAGAGATGGTCAACTCCATCCGGAAATGGAGAAGGTGGGTAGTTCGTGCCGAAGAACTTCAATTAGTTTTGCCCGATCCTCTGGTTTTGGCCGGAGTGGTCGCAAAAATAAGTGATGCATTAGCCAGGTTGGGGGGAGCTCAGGCGGCCTACCGATTGTCTTCGGTGAGGCAGCATTTGGGCATCGATCTCCGGCCAGGAATGCAAGAGATCAGAACGTTTTCTGAACTTCTTCAAGCTGAAGCTGGTGAAATGGCTATCCGTCAACCGGGGAACACAATACAGGGCCCAACGACTAAGCCCAACAATGTGGTAGGGGTGAAGTCTATGAGTGGACCGGATCCATCTGAAAATCCACCAAAGGGCGGTTCAAAAGGAAAACAAGATGATGCAGCTGGCTCTTCAACCGGAAGAAGGGGGGAGAAACCGGAGCTGCCAATTAATGCGGCTAATGTGGTCCACAAGACGGCGTGTGTCAACTGGTTGACTGATAAGGGGTGCCGATATGCAGAACGATGCCGGTTTGTGCACACCGTCTTGGACTCTAAAGATGGCCGATGTTTCAACTGTTCTGGAAAAGGGCACTCCAAGCGTGAGTGTGCTGCAGGGAAAAGAAGTGAGTCACGTGAACCAAAAGGGGGGTCAGTAGGAGAAGGAGATGCGGGCGCACCGGAAAGCGTTGAAGGTGGATTGGATGAGGCGGAAACTGCCGCGCAAATCACTCCGGAAAATGAAGAAGTGATTCAAGAAGTGAACCATCTCCTGAAAAGCCTTACTGGACCCATGCTGAAGACCATTGGTAAGAGAGCGGAATGTGGACCGTGCGAAGCGAAAACCGTAAAGGTCACTCCAAAAAATTCTATCAATCCCGGACCCGAACGAGCCGCTCAAGCGGTTCAAGAGGTGAACCACCACATGAAGGGTATCGCAGGGCCAATGCTGAAGTCGTTGGGGAATGGTGGGGATCCCGAAGTTGAAGACACGGGTCTCTTGGATGGTGGTGCAACACACCCCCTACGACAGGGTACCAGCGACGAGATCAAGAATGCAGTGCAGGTCACTGTGGAGTTAGCTCACGGAGCCGCGCAGCTCTACCAAAATCCCATGAATGGAACACTTCTATCGGAAGGTCCGGTGGAACCTATAGTTCCTCTCAGAGGACTTGCGGAATTGGGATACACCATCACATGGTCCCGTGCAGGATGTGCGGTGAAACACCCAAGACTGGGAAAAATCAAATGCTGGGAGCGGTCTGGGTGTCCAGTGGTCCGAAGGGATCACGCCCTGGCTCTTATCACCGAGATCGAGCGCATGGACACGGAAAAGAGGAACGACCGACGTTTCACGCGGGAAGAAGCGAATAAAGTCTCCACCAAAATCTCCAGATTTAAAAAGGAGCCTGCTGATGAACCAGCTGGGGGGGAGCCCGGTGTCTGTTCAAAAGTTTCAACCTTTTGTGTTTCAAAAGTTTCAGGACAAGACGATCAAGGCTCGGGGGAGGCACCTGCAAAAGAAGATGGAAGTCCAAACTCGGGGGAATTCATCGTCAGAAAAATCAGCCTGGAACATCAACAAAACTGGGACGCCGAATTTCCAAGTGTGGATCCGAAACAAGATCAACAAATGCACGCTTCAAGGGCAAGATCCACGAAGGGGATTGCACGTCTTGAAGAACATCAACCGGAAGAAGGTGAACATGGTCGGAATGAAGACCTTCCGGGGAAAAAACTTGTGGCCGATTTGCTGTCAAAGATCATCGCTGTGAAGCCAAACTGGGAAAGGTTCTGGAGGTTTGTCAATCGCCAAGGTTCCGGGGTTCCAAATGAGGAACCAACAATAGGATCCAACCGCCGCGAAGAACAACCTCTGGGAGAAGAACACCATCCGGAAGAACCAGACCAGGAGACTTCCTCATGGGACAACTACCGAGTCATCGCTGGTCGGTGCGTATCAGTGGTGAAAAAGGTGGTTGGTCTGGCCAAAGAATATCCAGAGCTAGCCGAATTCCGGCATGAAGCCCTGAGCACTGCCATTGGAAGGCTGGTGCAAGTACTGGCTGATACGTATCGCGTCACTGAATCCGTGGTCAAGGATCGGTTCCAGTTGGAGTCGGTCTTACCGTTTTTGGAGAAGAAGAACATTCCTGGACAAGTTGAACACCCTGTAGAAGAAGAACCTAGGGGTAGCCTAAAACGGGGGAATAGATCCAAAAGGGGTAACTCAAAACCAAAAAGGGTTCATTTTTGGGATGAAAATCCACCAATTTTGAAAGTTTTGCGGGTACAAGATCACCACGGTCATGTTACCCAATTGCACAGTTCTGGAAAAGAAGAACCCATCCCTAAGACCATCCTGGGTGATGGGCAAGAGAAACATTGGGACTTGGATCTTGCCAGGTCCAATCGAAAAGAACATCGAGCTGTTGAAGATGTACCAAGGTCGGGTCCCACAGAAACGAGGGATCAGGTAGCAGTTCGAGGGATGGAATTTTTGGGGAGTGTGGTTAAGATAGATGAAATACAACTTCATGGTAAACCATCAAAAGGGATAGCTCCGCAACCAATGGGAACTCAAGGCGATCAGAAGGAAAAAGAAGCCCGGATCCTATTGCAAGTGGGAACCGAAAAAGAAAAAGAAAAAGAAGAATTTAAAAAGGATAGATCGCCGGGAAAAGTACATCGGTGGCTGGAGAAAAAGATCATCAAGACCCAAGGAAAAGATCATTACCTGCCGGTGGAAAAGATCAACACAGGGAAAAGCTCATCAGCTGCTGGACCCAAAGAACACCGTTGGGCGCTCTTCGAGTGCGGCGCTGGTGAGAGAGGGAATTCAAAAAACCTACGAAGTTAGGGCTGTAGTTTTTCAATTTTTGGAGTCAACCCGAAGTGGAACTCCACGCGACCCTTGGATGAAGGGGGAACCAACACCAGCCTGGGACCATGGCACACGAGGGTCTTCGCCCTTCTGGCTGGGGGAAGGGCGAGTTCCCAGTGAAAACGTGGCCACCCCTGAACTTGTTGCTTTTGGTGTTGGGGAACCTGGATTCCTGCAAGCAGGAAGGGGGAGTGCGGTTGGGAAACCTGAACAGAGTACCACTGCACCCCCACTAAGGTCTTTTTAAGTTTTTCACAGTCGTTGAGACGTCCTCCGACTGTTGCAATGTGGCTCAACAAGGCTCAAGCCATTCAATTGGCTCAAGGGCCAATCAAACCAACTGGCTCAAGATCACCGAGCCCAACTTGGAGTGAAAAGGTGCACCTGCATCAGCCTCTTGGTGGGGTGCTCCGGGAAGGGTCTCGGTTGTAGTCTGACTTTAGAACCCGTGATATTATATTATATTTTATTATATTTTATTATATTTTTCTTATATTTTATTATATTATATTATATATTATTATATTAAATATTATTTTATTATATTATATTATATTATATTATTCTATATTATATATACATACATACATAGTACATCATCAGTTTCCCTATTAAATAGCCATAAGAGGGGGGCTGAAATCCCCCATATTTGACCCAAATATCATAATCTTAGTTATGTTCCATTTTCTATCCCATTTTCTTGTTCTAAACATTTTGAGATTACCTTTCCTATATGTTCCCAAGAAATTTCCAAGGAACACTTTCTGGCGTAGCATTGAGAACGTGGAAGTGCAACAGCGCCTCAACTTCTTCGTCTCCCAAGCAGCACCTCTGCGGAAGGCCATGAACCGATGGGTCCCCTGGGGTTGCGGACTGGTTGGACTGGTTGGCTTCCATGAAGTGAAATGAAGTGAAATGAAATGGTACAGGCTGGACGATGAATAACGAATAATGTCAACCCCAGATTAATAAACCCTGGTTGATTAATTTGGGTGGGTCACCAAAAATAGTGATACTAAAATGGTAGTAGTTTATTAATCCGGGGTTGACAGTATGTCGATAAAAAGATTCTTGCTTTGCCTTTTGGTCTCAAGCAACTTAACTGCGGCGATGTGCACACACGTCATTCCGTGTATATTCCAAAAGACTTATATAATTAATTACTTTCTTCGAGTGATCCCCACCCTGACACACTATTCTGACATAGTTTTTGACATACTATCTGGAAGATTCTGGAAGTATACATTGCATATATATATATATATATACATAATATATATATATATTCTGCCATTCTATCTGGCATTCAGGCGTGCTCCACTGCATCCTGCGCTTGCGATAGGGTTCAGGTCCAGGCATGCCCCACCACAGCATCCGTAGCTCGCGATAGCGTTCGGCAACCAGCTGGCAAAGAAGTAGCTGGGTAGAAGGAGTGAGTACGAGTGAGTGAGTAGGATTGAGGCCGGGACAATATTGTTAAAATCTAGAGACCATCACCTGGCAGGTAATTCGCCATCCAGCCTGACTCATTTTGGGGAAATCCGACAGGCTTCGAAGGTGACTGTCCCTGTGACCGGCCTCCAACAAACCCCAGCCTGCTTGCCGTGCCTGATGAGCGAAAACCAACCTCTATCCAGAAAGTATCAGAAAGTAGCAGGAACCAAGACAACCAAGGTGCTTGACGGCCACAACCCAAATTTGTGAAATGCAACAAGCAGCAAGTCAATTGTTTCCTTTGGTGATGGCTCAATGTGCCTGCGCAGGGAAACGATTGACTTGCTGCTTTGCAGAAGAAAACAACCTCGGATGTGTTTCCGCTGAAATCCCTGTCAATATGTCTTCAAGTGAGGTGGTAGGTGGGAGCCTCCATGCCACAACGGTGTGACTTGGCTCAACTTTGCCGCTCAAGAAGGGCTTGACAGGTGCCGGCAAAGCCCGGTGTCACTGAAACCGTCGATGACAAACCCTGCTTGCGGCGATGTGTCGCCAGTGGCTCCGATGTGATTGATCTTCACTATGCCTAAATGGTGAAGGATACACATTGAAAGTCAGTGGTTCTATGGGTTGGGAAGTGTGCCGAATGGTGTCAAAAGAACTTCCACCAAGGAAAGGTGGAAAACTCACACACGCACCACGGTGATTGGGAACTGCTATTGAATCAAACGTTGCGACAGCAGGGTATTGTGGGCAAGGCTGTGACACTGTCTTGCACTTACATTCCGATGGATTTGTATGCTGCATAGCGTTCTATCCAAGAGGAGGGATTTCGAATTTCAGATGCAAATTTTGGCTTGGAAGGGATCACTTCGATAGCAGGTAAAGAAAACACAAATTGTTTGCACCTTCTCCCGCAAAGCCTTCAAAGCCTGCCCTTTGGAAACAAATTCAATTCAAGCTTGGCAGAAGTAACCTTGTCAAGCAGTCTTCGGACCTTGACATTTGGCTGCTCTTTCAACAAAAGCCTGGAACCAGTGACTCTGCCAAGCAGTCTTCAAAGTTTGGCATTTGGCAAATGTTTCAACCAAAGCCTGGAACCAGTGACCCTACCAAGTAGTCTTCGAAACTTGACATGTGGTCGTGATTTCAACCAAAACCTGGAAAGAGTGACTCTCCCAAGCCTTCTTCGAGGTTTGACATTTGGCCGCAATTTCAACCAAATCCTGGAAGGAGTGACTCTGCCAAGCAATCTTTAAAGCTTGACATTTGGCAGCGGTTTTTACCAAAGCCTGGAACGAGTCACTCTACCAAGCAGTCTGCAGAGTTTGACATTTAGACAGAATTGCAACAAAAGCCTGGAACGAGTGACTCTGCCAAGCAATCTTTAAAGCTTGACATTTGGCAGCGATTTTAACCAAAGCCTGGAACGAGTCACGTGTAGTGCACCAAGATGCATCGAAAGGGGACTGGCGCGATAGTTGAAACTTTTCTTCTTGTTTGTTTGTCCTGGTTTTAAGTTGATTGGTTCTACATTGCTCCAGGTGACAGCTAGGTGTTGCACATGATGTGCATGGTTGACCGGTTGCAAGTGTGCACCGCGTCTATTTAGCTGCAACCTTGTGTTTTTCGCGCGTTCTATTCTATTTTCTTTTTGCTGTGTGGCAGGATGTCTGTCACGGATGCATCCTTTGAGCAATCATGTGGTCATATTGGTACCACCGCCAAAGAGCAGTGGATGCAGTTGCCATCAGCCTTACGGCGCGATCTGGGTAGCGAATTTTGCCTGCCTGACCCTGAGTTCCTGTACAATGTTTGCCTGGATGACTTGGACCGACATTCCCTCGTGTCCCACTATGCATCGGATGCTGCCGAACTTGAATTTTTCACATCAATCTTGAAGACTTTGCAGGTTCAGTCTTCTGCTGCTGCTAGCTTGTGTCGAAAGCGGCGTGCTGCAGCGCACCCTTCTTTGCAATGGCTTGCTGTTTGTAAACAGCCGCGCATGGTCGAAACTGTCGTGCCGCCAGTAGATTCCTTGGAGTGGCTTTGTCATCATTCTGGTGCTCACAAGCGTGCTCGGATTCGTGTGCCCAAAAATTGCCCTAACAGCCGAGCAGATGCTGAGTTGTCTTCTCAGCTGCGTTGGCAGCGCAAGTTGGCTACTATTTTGATAGATTCTTGCGCGCCTGCTTTATCCGGAGCGACTGGGCAGACTGGTGAGCTGCGAGCTTTGCGTTTGGCTGGCAACACCCGCAGCAGCACCTTAAAGAAGCATATCCAGATGTGGCACCGATATAGCAAGTGGCTGCATGCAGCCTACCAGCTGCAGTGGCTGACCACTTGTGACATGGTACTTGACTTTCTTGAGGAACTTGCTGCTCAGCCGTGTGGCAAAACTGTTCCGGAAGCATTTTGCGCCACGCTGCAATTCATGGAAAGAGTGGCTGGTATCGCCTTGGAATTTCGTTTAGGGAAGCAAACGGCAGTCCTGCGTACAGTTGAGCAATTGTCCGCGCAGTTGGAAACCGGTGCGCCCCCATCTAGGAAGGCCAGACCACAACCTTTGATTCTAATCCTGGCTTTGGAACTCTGGGTTATGAACATCAGCGCTGCTCGCTACACACGTGCTTTTGCATGGGCAAAGCTTGTTAAATTTTGGTCTTCTTCTCGCAGCGACGATTTGTTGGGTCTGGTCCCGCAGTGCCTTCACTTTAGCGGCCGGGGGTTGTGTGGCTTACTACAGCGTACAAAAACAAGCGGGCCTGGAAAAAAGGTAAAGTGGCTTCCGATTTTTGTTGATCGCGATGCTTCTTTTGCAGGTGTTCCTTGGTTGGAAACTGGCTTTGCTCTTTGGCAGGAGGAAGGCATGTGCTTCGAACGAGACTATTTGGTGCCTTTGCCGACCAAAAATCGCGAATCCTGTGTCCAATTTATGGCTGACTATACGGCAATGTGTGCTTTGTCCAAAGAACTCTATTGCTTACTGCGCCGTCCCGTTTTTTAGTGGCAGCAGTGGAGCTTGACAGATGAGCCTCTTTTGATCGCCCCATCTGCTTGTCGGGCATGGACAGAACATAGCGAGCGTTGCTGGTTAGCCAGCGTGGCTGCTGTATTAGACATAGGGCGCGAGCGGCGTGAAGTTCTGGGCCGCTGGCGTGTAGCCTCCTGTTCTGATGAATACATCCGGACTGCGCAACGTGTGGTCAGCCAAGTTCAGCGTGCAATAGTTGGGGGGGTCCTCAATGACACGGAATGGCAGCTGCAAGAAATTGGCATTAAAGATTTGGAGATACATTTGAGACAGGCAGGTGAGTCTGATTCATTGATTTACAATCAACTTTGTGCATTCGACTTGAGCTTAGCGGGTTGGTGTTGCCCTGTTCGACCCATTGCCGCGCATGCTGCGCCCGATTCGCCAAAGCCTATGGAGAATGCGTGCAATGTAGCTGAAGTATCCGCAGTAGCAGTAGGTAGCACTGAAGATATTTCCCCCGCCGAACCAGTTTTGCCTCGAGGGGTCGTAGCTGCTGAGGGCCCCAACCAAGAAACCTTCCGGTACTTTATTTGTATCACAAAAAACCGGCGCTTGCGTAGGCTTCATCGTTGGGATGGCTGTGGCACCAAGCCAGCGTCATGTTCAGTACAGGTTGACGGTATTGATTGTCTTGACGGCGTCCAGTATGATGCAGCTTGCAAACATTGCTGGCCCCGTGGACAGAAGCCAGGTGTTGAGTCAGACGAGGATGACTCAGGCTCTTCGTCAGACAGCACAGATGGCAGCCTAGCATCTGGTGATTAATATGTGTTTTAGTGGCCAAGTCCGCTAGGTGTACACACGTGCTTGCTGAAAGGGGACCAATGTTTGGCCCTTTGCCATTGCTCGTAGCTAATGCAAAGTGGATTGTGTTAGGACTTTGAGCTAGATTGGCAATGGTTTTCATCTCATGCTTGAGATTTCTCTGAAGTTGGCCAGAGCTGCTTTCTAATTCTGGTTGCTAACACAATGGTGGTTGTGTTATGGCTTCATCTCATGCTAGAGATTCCTTTCATGTTGAGTTGGGATATGTTCATCCGCCAACTTTGATTTCTACACTTGATCGCATGTGTTTGTTCCGGCCGGGGCACGTTCTTTAGCGCGGCATGCTGCATGCGCTATGTTTGCTTGGCCAGCTTGTGATCATTGTGTATGTTCTTCAATTACGTCAATTGAGCTTGTCAACTGTTGACATCATGCCTTTGATTTCTTTATCTGATGAAGAGCGCTCAGCAGCGTTGAAGGCTGCATCACCTGACTTGAAGTACCACTTGTCTGAGGTGAAAGTCCCTGTGGAGGTGCAAGCCGCTTTGTTCCACAAAGGCTTTGTGGATTTGCAGCTTTTTGCCGGGCTGGATGAATCCCGCTTGGAAGTGCGCAATGCTCTTGCTGTTGAAATTGGCTTAAAGCACGACGAGTGCACCGATGCCCGCCAAAATGTTGCCCGGCTATTATCTGCATGGGAATCTTCTCGTGCGCAGCTGGTGGCTGAGGACAAGATGAAGGCTGAAAGCAAGCTCGGCCAAACGCCTCGGATTGTGCAGTGCTCCGAGATGGCAGCTTTGCGCAAAGCGGTGGAGGCTGATCTTGGCAAGTTACAGGACGATGAGGTCCCTGCCAAGTCTCTGATTGCCACCAAGTTGGAACAGATTGAATCTGGCGACCTACGTGCCGAAGACTTACGTGAGGTCCTTTGCGTGGAAGACACAGATGTTGATCTCTTTAGTGGCATCATTGAGCATGGCACCGGCAATCTCAAGATCAAGCCGGGGAAGGCGAGCATTGCTATGCCATCAACTCCAGAAGAGTTGAGGCTACGACATCGCCGCATTGGCATTGCATGGCTGATGGTGGGGTCCAAGCACAAGAACCAATCCTGGATCACGCCTGCCTTGTTGGAAGCGTTTCGCCGTTTTTCTGACCATATTGTGGGCAGGCACATTGCAGGTTTTCCGATCATGGCCCAGGGAGTGACAAGGCACCCAGCTTGGAATTTGGTGTTATCTTATGAGCTAGAAGTACGCAAAAGGGCTTACAAGCAGCTGCGCGATGGCAAGCATTCATCTTTGCAAGAAGCTTTGGAAGATGCGTGGAATTCTGCTGAGCTGATCAACAAGCATTTTTTGGTTCCTCTGACTGCATCTGCTGACTTCTTCAGCACGGCCAGTCACGGTGAGGTGTTTACTGCCCATGGCAAAGGTAGTGGCAAGCATGGGAAAGGTAAAGGCAAGGGCAAAGACAGGCGTTTGGTCTCCAAGCAGTTCCTCAAATCTAGATCGGAAGAGGGTAAAAGGCTTTGCTTCAGATTCAACAATGGCACATGCAAGGAAAAACATTGCTCTTTTCACCATGCTTGCCAAATCTGCCTTGGAGAAGGCCATGGGAAGAAAGATTGCCCGAGTCATCCAAAGAGCATGTTGCAGTCACCAGCTTGAACGGCTGCAGGGGCCCAACCGGCTGATGGGCCCCGCCAGGAATCAATTTTGTCAGCCGAAAAAGTCAGTGCCGCGCTTCCCTCGCCTGCGGTGGGGCATTCATGTTCGGGACAGCGCGTCAGCTCTAGTGTTGATACAGATTTGCTTGATGGTGAAGAAGAGACAGCATGGTTTCATCAAGCAGTCGGTGGCTGCGGACCTCCTTTGAAGTCACACATGATGGGTAAAAGCAAACCATTTGTTGACGGTAGTGGTTTGTGCTCGCCCGGACGGTGGAGCCCATGCGCTCGTCATGTGAAGCCGATAGGTGCGCAATGCTTTGCAGGTCTGCAGACAGTGTTGGACAAGCACACGGACGGGCGTAGACTTCTTTTTGAGTTGGCTTGCAAAAAACATGTGGACCAGCCTTTCCCTGCAGCACTGGTGAAAGAAGCTAGGGAGGCTGTCAAAGGCATTCTGAGAAAACATGGTGCGCAGCTTGATTTAGATGCAATTCCAGAGCGACAGCCTTTCCATCTTGCTTTGCTTGAAGAGTTTCTGCGTCTCTGCAACGATCCTGATGCTTCAGCGTATTTTTCAGGCAAGGATTCATTTGCTGCGGGCGTGTCCTTAGGTGTGAATCAGAAGATGCCGCGAACTCCAGCTGTTTTCGAGAAAAAATGCAAATGGCGTGCCTATGACGGGGAAACTACAGCAGCGGATGTTTTCCGGAACAACTATCCTGGCGCGGCAGAAAATGCAAAGGCGATTGAAGCACAATTCGTAGAAGAAGCCAAGTTAGGTGCGATGGTGAAGATGGAAGTTGAGGAGGCGTCAAGGATCTATGGTGAAAATTTGAGGGTAGCTTCGCTTGGTGCAATCCGGAAAGCTGATGACAGCTTCTGTGTAGTCCATGATGGAACACACGGCATAGGGGTCAATGGTAATATCAAGGTGCGTGACCAGATTGCATGCCCAAGTGCAGGTGATTTGCGGCAGGTGCTACAGGTGCTGGAGAAGCCGACTTTTGTTTTGACAGCAGACATCAAGCGCGCGCACAGGCTTGTGAAGATCAAGCCAGAAGACTGGGGGCTGCAAGCATGTAGGACAGACGAATCTTCTTCATTTGTCTGGCTGAATACTGTAGGCACTTTTGGCGTTGCGTCAGCTGCAGTACATTGGTCGCATCTTTTCAGTGGAATACAGCGGGCGGTGTACTATTTAACTGGTACTTTGAAGCTGTTTCTCCTCACCTATGTTGATGATTTGCTGTTCATTACACAAGGGAAAGCTGCAACGGATGCAATTGTAGTTGCTCTTCTGTTTATGGTAGTCTTGGGCGTTCCCCTCAGCTGGCATAAGTGCAAGGGGGGCACACAGGTCGAATGGGTAGGCTACTACGTGGATCTGGAACAGAAGTCTGTTGGTATTAGTGAAAAACGTGCAGATTGGATTTGCAACTGGGTTGAGACAACTGTGGCAGCAGGCGTGGTGAAATTGCATGACTTTTCTGCAGTGCTAGGTCGGCTTTCTTTTGCAATGGCGGCAATTGAGCACCTCAGGCCTTTTCTGGGGCCACTGTACGCATGGTCTGCAGCCCTGGAAAACGTGGTTCATGCTCGCTTGCCTAAAGCTGTTATCTACATCTTGCGTTTCATTGAACATATGCTGAAACATGGATGGCGTACTCGCCCAGTGGGACCTCTGCAAGAAGCTCGTAGGGAATTATTCAGGGCAGATGCAAAAGCCGAAGGTGAAGTGATTTGCATCGGTGGCTGGGCAATTGAGGACGGTCCGGATACAAAATCATGTAGATGGTTCAGTGAAAGGTTGACGCGGTCAAATGCACCTTGGGCTTTCTTGGCTGGGGAATCTTTCCGAGCCATTGCATCACTGGAATTGTTTGCCACCTTAGTGAGCCTGGTCCTCTTCAAGCCTGCGTGCTACAAAGGTTCAATGAAAATTTCAGCTGGAACTGATAACTTGGGAAATACACATCTCATCGCTCGGTTGATGAGCACCAAATTCCCATTGTGCGCTATTTTGATGGAAGTGGCGGCAGTTCTCATGGACGGCAATCATGATCTGCAGTTGGAATGGCTTCCTCGTCTCCAAAACCAGGAGGCAGACAATCTCACAAATGAGATTTTTCACGGTTTCAGTGAGGATCGCAGGCTGCGATTTCGTATGGAGGAGTATGAAGGTTTAGTCTTACAGGCAATGTTGAATTTGTGCATGGAATTGTACGAGGACGTGCGGAAAGCACGTGACCGCAAGGTGAGCCAGACCAAGCGGGTGAAGACTGGCGAGCCTCTGCGTGTGAGAGCCCCTTGGGGCTGAGAGTTGATAGGTAGAAACCTGCTTGCCGAGTCAAGCGATTCAACCGTACCATAATATATTATTTGAGGCATGGGTCGCCTGCGGTTGGGAGTTAGGTGAGCGCCCATGCTGGGTTGCTTTGCACATCTGTAGGACATGTGTTTTGTCCTACATGGTCTATTTTGCCTCTGGCCATGTCTTGGCTATATGACATATGGTATGTCTTATGGTATATTAATTCCCACACCGCTAGAAAAAAGAAGGGCGAGTCATTGTGCGTGTCATCTAAGGCTAGGGTTGGCTGGGCGGTAGTTCTAACTAGAGTAGAAGTCCCGTGTAGTGCACCAAGATGCATCGAAAGGGGACTGGCACGATAGTTGAAACTTTTCTTCTTGTTTGTTTGTCCTGGTTTTAAGTTGATTGGTTCTACATTGCTCCAGGTGACAGCTAGGTGTTGCACATGATGTGCATGGTTGACCGGTTGCAAGTGTGCACCGCGTCTATTTAGCTGCAACCTTGTGTTTTTCGCGCCCCGCCCTCTGCCACCCTACGGCGCGGGAGTTAGGTGAGCGCCCATGCTGGGTTGCTTTGCACATCTGTAGGACATGTGTTTTGTCCTACATGGTCTATTTTGCCTCTGGCCATGTCTTGGCTATATGACATATGGTATGTCTTATGGTATATTAATTTCCACACCGCTAGAAAAAAGAAGGGCGAGTCATTGTGCGTGTCATCTAAGGCTAGGGTTGGCTGGGCGGTAGTTCTAACTAGAGTAGAAGTCCCTCTACCAAGCAGTCTGCAGAGTTTGATATTTGACAGCGATTTCAACCAAAGCCTGGAAGGAGTGACTCTGCCAACCAATCTTCAAAGTTTGACATTTGGCAGCGATTTTAACCAAAGCCTGGAACGAGTCACTCTACCAAGCAGTCTGCAGAGTTTGACATTGAGACAGAATTGCAACAAAAGCCTGGAACGAGTGACTCTGCCAAGCAATCTTTAAAGCTTGACATTTGGCAGCGATTTTAACCAAAGCCTGGAACGAGTCACTCTACCAAGCAGTCTGCAGAGTTTGATATTTGACAGCGATTTCAACCAAAGCCTGGAAGGAGTGACTCTGCCATGCAATCTTCAAAGCCTGACATTTGGCTGTACTTTTTGTGGAAACCTGGAACGAGTGAGCAATCTGCGGAGTTTGACACTAGGCCGACCAAAGCCTGAAAGGAGTGATTCTGCCGAGGGGTTTGCAGAGTTTGACACTTGGCCAGAATTTCAACAGAAGCATGAAACAAGTGACTCTGCCAAGCAGTCCGCAGAGATTGACATTTGGCCAGAATTTTAACCAAACACTGGATTTGGCAGTGGTTTTAAGCAAAGCCTAGAGCGAGTGACTTTGCCATTCAAGCTTCAAAGCTTGACATTTGGCGGCGCTTTCAATCAAGACCTGGAACGAGTGACTTTACCGAGCAGTCTGCAAAGTCTGACATTTGAACAGAATTTCAACAAAAACCTGGAGCGGGTGACTCTGCCAAATAGTCTTCAGAGTTTGACAATTGGCTCCGGCTTTCGCCATTCCTTGCAAGGAGTGACTCTGCCAAGCAATCTTCAGAGCTTGACAGTTGGTATGAACCATGTTGAAATCCTGAAAGGAGGGAGCATGCCAAATACTTTGTGTTGTTTTAGTTGCAGATCTGCATCTGTGAGCAGCTAGTGATCGTTGCAAGAGGCTGATAAATGGGTCGGCGACCTTATGGGAGGACACGTGAGAACATTGAGTAATTACAACAATATGCCAAACATATTCCCTACGCGTCATTGAATTTGGGATACGATGGTCGAACCTGGGAATTATCCTGGCTGCAACCATTGTCCTGTCTGAAGTGCAGTTGTTTTGGAACTGGTTGCGAGGAAACTTACAACATGTGGATAGCTCGATCAAAACTGAAGTTCTTTTCCAACCAGATCGGTCAGGATAGAACCATCGAAATGAGTGGTTTTAAAGTGATTACCACAACTTTCCAATACTTTCCACCTTCCTGCAGTACAGCCCAAAGCCATGAATTCACTTGCAACTGCCCCATGTTTCAGGTGAAAGTCCATGGCGATCTGAAGCTTAGTGGAGACGGTGCCAGCCTCAGAACATGGAGCAGTTCTCTTTGCTTTTGAAGGTTGGGTTCTCTTTGGTAATCAAAGGTGGGAATGGAAAAATTCCCTTAGAACATTATATAGGCTATTTTTTGATGGGAGATTGACCATTGCCACGTTTGATTACCGGAGAGTATGTCTGAGAATGGTGGATATAACATGATATAACTATAACCCCCAAAATTGCCATTGTGAAAAGGAACATATAGGAAACTGATGGAAAGTGATGATTAACCGGTAGATGGAATGGGTGTTTCCCAACATGACATGTCCAGACGAACCAATTTGTTATCAACTTAGGCGATGACTATACCTCTGGTGGAGCGCTGGCAAACTCCGAGATTCTGGGCGAAATTCTCACTGGCACGCAGCAGCAATGGTACACGCGGGGGACAAAGATGAAGCCCTACCCCCATCCAGCAGGCAAGGAACTGAGACTCATGAACACTGCAACTTTGCAGAGTCGGACGTGCTGTGATCTCCATTTTCGCAGTTGATTGGGTTGGAGTGGTAAAGATCAGTGAAGATCTACCGAATGACGTGTGCTGTCCATCCATGTCGTAATCCATGTGGTAAACCCAATAATATACCATATCCCATTAATTCCCATTAGTTGGCCCATTAGGGGTATATCATGGTATATCCAATAATAATGAGCCCAATTGGGGATGGTTACAACGGTTTGTTGTTGGGTTCGCTATTGGATAAACGAATATATTATTGGATTTACCACATTGAACCTTTCAAACCAGGTTTGGGAAGTTACGCAGCTGTGGGCTGTGTGGGGCCAGACGAGACTTCTTTCACTCCCAGCGGCTGGGAATGGATAGTCAGCCTGTGTGCTGCACATGGCTCGGGGGATCAAACCCTATTCAATTTACATAATTTACCATTTTGGGGTGAGCAGGGCACCAGGGTTTTGAACCTTTTCTGACCAAAATCTCCAGGACCAATGAGACAGAAAAACATTCAGGATTACCCAGGAGACCTGATTAGACATGAACGAACACGTGTAATGAACATGATGGAAGTATGTTGTCGTTGATTTTAGGGTTTCCCAAAACAAGTCAGTCTCCAACCAGGATCTCACTGGTCATCACACAAGACTTGGTATCCCTGGAACATGGGGGATCTTTGTAATTTATATGAAACACTTACCCCATGTTCCTATTTGTTGGATATTAGATGATATTAGACACATATCGTCACATACCCAAAACCTGGTGGTATGGCCCTGGTTTTGCCGGCTGGCCTCGAAAGCTGCGGTGCCAAGGCTACGACTTCGAGGGCAACCACCTACCCTGGCAAAGTGTTCACACTGGAGCCACGTCGCCTGGCGCAAAAAATGGGATGATGTGCACCAGAAACGTGGATTGTTTAAATGTGTGTTCGGTGTGTCAATGGGATGTCAATGTTTTTTGGATTCCCATGAGATTGCTGGTTGGTGTTTCGAGGTGTATTCGGACTGGTACGATGCCAATTGACTACTGTTTGTGGTGTGGCTTGAAATTGCCAATCAGATCGATACCCCAAGCCCCACCATTTGATACTCGCTGTCCGCCCAGTCTAAGTCTTTTGGATCCACCAAATCGGGATTCTCCTAATGGATTATGTTAAACCCCAATATATTGGGTTGTCTAACCTCCAACAATCATCAATCAACAGGGGGTTTGAACACATGAGTTTAGTTGCAAGCAAGGAACCCCTCCATCCAACGATTGTTCATCGTATGTCTATTAGAGTTGCATATTAGTGATCTTCTATCGGTATGCTCCATTTTGCGACACATGGGTTCATTTGGATTAGTTCCCCATTAATTCCCTATTGCTTTATATAGTCTCATTGTATCCCCGTGATAGGTAAATTATAGCCATAAGGGGGAAATTGTAATTTACTCCTTTGTTTGGCCATTTTCCCCCCAAACGTATCTGGGGTGTTGGGAGCAACCCTAAAATCAGAGTAAAATCATGTAAGATCCCATTGTATCCCAATAGACCCCCATTTTGATGATGAAATCACATAGAATATCCCCATGAAATTCTGATTGACATTCGACATTTGACATGTGAGGTCCATGACATTCGACATTTGACATGTGAGGTATACGGAGCCACCATCAGTGTTTGCTGAGAAGCCCTTCATCATCTTCGAACAGGACATCCTGGGAGATAGAAACAAAAATGTGGATTTGAGATGATTTAGCCAGAAAGAACTGGGACGAGTGATGGCAAATTAAGCAACGAACTGAACTGTGTTTTGCTTTCGAAGATGTCATCTAAACTCCTCCGTGTGGGTCGAAGCCTCCGTTGCCAAAATTGTTTCGCTTTGGCAACGTCCATGAGGCGAGGGATTTCAAGGCGAAATTTGTTTGGGGCGTGAGACTTGCCCAATGCTTCTTTGTTAATGGCGCATTTCACGTAGACATGAGTAATGTTGGTTCCTGATTAGTGTGGGGAGGCCCCCCCCCCAAACAAATTTGCGTTACAGAATAGTGTGGAAAAAACAAATTACCGGGTACAGAATACGGTAAAATCAAAAAAAAATGATAGATTTAAATTGATTTCAATTTATTTTGAATTGATTTCAATTTATTTTGAATTGATTTCAATTTACTTTCAATTGATTTGAAATTACTTTCAATTGATTTCAATTTACTTTCAATTGATTTGAATTTATTTTGAATTGATTTCAATTTAGTTTCAATTGATTTGAATTGATTTTGAATTGATTTCAATTTACTTTCAATTGATTTGAATTTATTTTGAATTGATTTCAATTTACTTTCAATTGATTTGAATTGATTTTGAATTGATTTCAATTTACTTTCAATTGATTTTGAATTGATTTCAAGTTTCTTTCAATTGATTTGAAGTTACTTTCAATTGATTTGAAGTTACTTTCAATTGATTTCAATTTACTTTCATTTGATTTCAATTTACTTTCAATTGATTTCAATTTACTTTCAATTGAATTCAATTTACTTTCAATTGAATTCAAGTTACTTTCAATTCATTTCAAGTTACTTTCAATTGATTTCAATTTACTTGCAATTGATTTCAATTTACTTTCAAGTAAAAGAAAAAAGACAATCACCCCAGGAAGCAGCTGGACACAATAGTGTACCCCCAAACAAACCATACTATTGTGTATCAGGGTTGCTCATGGACTACCCCCTTGAAAAATTGTTTGAGTGATGTTTTTTAATTGGGTTTTAATAAGGCATCATATATTTTGGGAAATTCAGCATTTCTGAGAATTCTAAATAAAAGAAACTAATTGAGAAAATAAAAGAAACAAACTTTAGCAAAGGAAAATGTAAAGGGAATGTAAAAAAAACAAAATCACCTCAGGAAGCAGCTGGACACAATAGTGTACCCTCAAACAAACCATACTATTGTGTACCATGATCATATTCATTTCAAGTTACTTTCAATTGATTTCAATTTACTTGCAATTGATTTCAATTTACTTTCAAGTAAAAGAAAAAAAAACAATCACCTCAGGAAGCAGCTGGACACAATAGTGTACCCCCAAACAAACCATACTATTGTGTATCATGATCATTCATGTTTTTTTTTGGTTGGCTGAAACTAATCCTTTGGAAAGCCTTTGGTTTTGATTCCAAGAAAAATGAAGCTAAGTAAAAGGAAACAAACTTTAGCAAAGGAAAAGGTAAAGGGAATGTTTCAAAAAAAATCACCTCAGGAAGCAGCTGGACACAATAGTGTACCCTCAAACAAACCATACTATTGTGTATCATGATCATTCATGTTTTTTTTTGCTTGGCTGAAACTAATCCTTTGGAAAGCCTTTGGTTTTGATTCCAAGAAAAATGAAGCTAAGTAAAAGGAAACAAACTTTAGCAAAGGAAAAGGAAAAGGAAAAGGTTGAAAAAAAACATAACCTCAGGAAGCAGCTGGACACAATAGTGTACCCTCAAACAAACCACGCTATTCTGTATCAGGGTTGCTCATGGACTACCCCCTTGAAAAATTGTTTGAGTGATGTTTTTTAATTGGGTTTTAATAAGGCATCATATATTTTGGGAAATTGAGCATTTCTGAGAATTATAAATAAAAGAAATTAATTGAGAAAATAAAAAAACTTTAGCAAAGGAAAATGTAAAGGGAATGGAAATCCCATAGAAAGATCATAGAAATAACATGGAAATCCCATAGGAATCTCACAGAAACCCCATAGAAAGATCATAGAAATAACATGGAAATCCCATAGGAATCTCATCCCATAGAAAGATCATAGAAATAACATGGAAATCCCATAGGAATCTCACAGAAATCCCATAGAAAGATCATAGAAATAACATGGAAATCCCATAGGAATCTCACAGAAATCCCATAGAAAGATCATAGAAATAACATGGAAATCCCATAAGAATCTCACAGAAATCCCATAGAAAGATCATAGAAATAACATGGAAATCCCATAGGAATCTCACAGAAATCCCATAGAAAGATCATAGAAATAACATGGAAATCCCATAAGAATCTCACAGAAATCCCATAGAAAGATCATAGAAATAACATGGAAATCCCATAGGAATCTCACAGAAATCCCATAGAAAGATCATAGAAATAACATGGAAATCCCATAGGAATCTCACAGAAATCCCATAGAAAGATCATAGAAATAACATGGAAATCCCATAAGAATCTCACAGAAATCCCATAGAAAGATCATAACATGGAAATCCCATAGGGAAATCCCATAGAAAGATCATAGAAATAACATGGAAATCCCATGGAATCTCACAGAAATCCCATAGAAAGATCATAGAAATAACATGGAAATCCCATAGGAATCTCACAGAAATCCCATAGAAAGATCATAGAAATAACATGGAAATCCCATAAGAATCTCACAGAAATCCCATGGAAAGATCATAGAAATAACATGGAAATCCCATAGGAATCTCACAGAAATCCCATAGAAAGATCATAGAAATAACATGGAAATCCCATAGGAATCTCACAGAAATCCCATAGAAAGATCATAGAAATAAAATGGAAATCCCATAAGAATCTCACAGAAATCCCATAGAAAGATCATAGAAATAACATGGAAATCCCATAGGAATCTCACAGAAATCCCATAGAACGATCATAGAAATAACATGGAAATCCCATAAGGAATCTCACAGAAATCCCATAGAAAGATCATAGAAATAACATGGAAATCCCATAGGAATCTCACAGAAATCCCATAGAAAGATCATAGAAATAACATGGAAATCCCATAAGAATCTCACAGAAATCCCATAGAAAGATCATAGAAATAACATGGAAATCCCATAGGAATCTCACAGAAATCCCATAGAAAGATCATAGAAATAACATGGAAATCCCATAGGAATCTCTCATAGAAATAACATGGAAATCCCATAGAATCTCACAGAAATCCCATAGAAAGATCATAGAAATAACATGGAAATCCCATAAGAATCTCACAGAAATCCCATAGGAAGATCATAGAAATAACATGGAAATCCCATAGGAATCTCACAGAAATCCCATAGAAAGATCATAGAAATAACTGAAATAACATGGAAATCCCATAGGAATCTCACAGAAAGATCATAGAAATAACATGGAAATCCCATAGGAATCTCACAGAAATCCCATAGAAAGATCATAGAAATAACATGGAAATCCCATAGGAATCTCACAGAAATCCCATAGAAAGATCATAGAAACATCATGGAAATACCTTGGAAAACCCACAGGAATCCAATAGAAATTCCATAGGAAAGATCATAGAAATACCATAAAAATCCCATAGGAATCCAATGGAAATCCCATAAGAATACCATAGAACTCCCATAGCACCCCTTCAGAAATACCATAGAAATCCTCCAGAAATATCATAGAAACATCATGGAGACCTCATAGGAATTCCATAGAAATCCAATAGTAATACCATAGAAATACCATAAAAGAAAAAAACTTTAGCAAAGGAAAAGGAAAAGGAAATGGTTGAAAAAAAACAAAACCTCAGGAAGCAGCTGGACACAATAGTGTACCCTCCAAACAAACCACACTATTGTGTATCAGGGTTGCTCATGGACTACCCCCTTGAAAAATTGTGTGAGTGATGTTTTTTGATTGAGTTTTAATAAGGCATCATATATTTTGGGAAACTGGGCATTTCTGAGAATTTCAAATGAAAGAAACCAAGAAAGTAATTAAGCAATTAAAAGAAAAAAGACTTTAGCAAAGGAAAAGGTAAAGGAAATGATTGAAAAAAACAAAAAAAATCATGACCTCAGGAAGCAGCTGGACACAATAGTGTACCCTCCAAACAAACCACACTATTCTGTATCAGGGTTGCTCATGGACTACCCCCTTGAAAAATTGTTTGAGTGATGTTTTTTTAATTGGGTTTTAATAAGGCATCATATATTTTGGGAAACTGGTCATTTCTGAGAATTTCAAATGAAAGAAACTAAGAAAGAAATTGATTGAAAGGAAAACACTTTAGCTAGCAAAGGAAAAGGTAAAGGAAATGATTGAAAAAATCAAAAAATCATGACCTCAGGAAAGCAGCTGGACACAATAGTGTACCCTACAAACAAACTACACTATTTTGTACCTGGATGTAATTTTCTGTGGAAGGCATCTGGAAAATTTCAATGATGGAAAATAAAAAGTAAAAGGAAAAAGCTTTAAAAAAATGAAAAAAATGAAAAATGTTTGAACAACAAAAAAAAACAAGACACAATTGTGTATCCTGACACAATGACACAATTGTGTATCCTGACACAATTTTACAAAATAATAAAAAAATATAATTAAAAATAAAAATAATTAAATTAAAAATTATTATAACTAATTAATTAAAAATAAAAATAAAAAATAATTTAAAATCAAATAAAAAATAAATTAAAAATTATTATAATTAAAAATAAAAAATATTTTAAAATTTTAAAATAAAATAAAAAACAATTAAAAACTAAAAAAATGAAAAAAATGAAAAAAAAAACTTACACCAAAATCCTGTGGACACAAAACTGTACCCCTCGATCATTTCCAAAGTTTCAGAATAATTTTGAGGTCTGTGGACACAATTCAGTATCCCCACACTAATCAGGATCCAACATTACACAGATTAGACCTCTTTAGTACAATCTCGGCACATTGGCCCAGGGTGAGTACAAACTTCGAATTCCAGAAGCATTTTGGCAGCACATTTCAGAGCAGCAACTGCGCTTGCACACTGAAGCTGTGGAAAAAGGCTGTTTCAGTGCTGATGCGTTTCAGGTATAGTGTTTTCACACATCTATCACTATCAGAATGTAGAGATTGAACCAACAAAAACATGGTCAGAGCATGTCTAACCATGGTAATCTATGATAAATTATAGCGACCTGGCCCACTTCACCCTAGATGGGATCCATGGATTCGAAATTCGTCATCACAAATCTATGGAATTTACAGGGAGCCCCTGGCTGATGAGACCTTCACTCCCATCAGCTTTCAGCGAAGGGATTGGCTTCACCCAGGTCTTGAGAAATCATCCGGGCTACGACTGGCAGAGACTTGGCATGAATGTTCCAGCTATGGACGGTAGCCAGCTACATTTGAACCATTTAAAAGTACCCTAGGCTATCTGGTTGGTGATTTGGAACATTTTGTATTTTCCCCAATAGTTGGGATGATGATCCAATCTGACTTTCATATTTTTCAGGGGGGTTGAAACTTGAAACCACCAATTAGTTATGATGTTATTTGGGATTATGAACTAACCATAACTAAGCCATATTGGGGAAACCTACCAACCAACTAGTATTTCATGAGGTGGGATAATGGGGTAATTTTGACGGCTCATTTGGGATTAGCTTGGTCATTTTCTGTGGGTGAATGTTGCTAAGTATGCCATATATGGAGAGATGGATGGATGGTTTCTATGATCAAAACTCGACCTAGCAGTGGACGTTCTCCCGTCCCTCACAGCTGCTGTTGGCTTGTGATACGGCCGCTCATGAAATGCTGGGCTGAAGAATTTGGAAGGGATCCCTGTCCTGAAAAAGGATGATCCAGATCGACAAAAATCAGCGGATTCCAACTCCTGTTTTTTTTTTTTGACTGATTTGATCTTATCTAATTAGTCCAAAAAAATAATAAGCCACTTTTAAGCCCCAATTCTTGGGGATATGTTCAGATCCTAAAAGTCCACGTTGGGGTCGCGGGTGCCATAGGAGCGGCAGCACTGTGGGCTTCGACAAGGTCTTTGTGACCAATGCCAAAAGCACAGCCAAAGAGATGAATGCGGCCATCAAGCAAGGCCTTCAACGATGTTCAAAACCCGGGTTGATGATTAGGTGGGGGATTGTAATTTATATATTAATTTATTGTTATTATCCAATATATTGGGGATTATATAATATTATATAATTAAATTAAAATAATCCAATATAGGGCAATCCCTATAAACCAACCACATGAAATGCGTCGCAATTCGAATCCTCAATTCATCTCGATTCCAATGGAGTCATTCCACTGACATGGCCATGACATGGGGTACCCCTTGACAGATACGACTGCAGAAAATGATCGGAATGTAAGGATCGATCAGTGACACAAGCTGAAGAAAAACCACCTTGTAACCAGCTGATAACATTCTGATAACCAGCTGGTGATAACCTTTGTGTCCTGGCGATCACCAGCTCCGGTTATGATTCCTTTGGCTCCCCCGGCGAGGTTTGCACGTGATCCTGACTCCTGCGGTCTACTACTTGGAGGAACCTCTGGCTGCTTGGTGTCCAGAAATGGGGAAGACGCACATTGTGCGGTCATTCAAAGAGGCAAGACGATGATTACCCAGTGGATTTAGGGTACCCTGCACTTTTCAGACACACACACATATATATACATATAATATATATATATATATAATATATATTATATATATAATATATATATCATATATATATAATATATAATATAATATAATATAATATATGGTCATATATGACTCATCTAGTTGGCTGCATTCCCAAGCTCTTCATCATTTGGCTGAGGTCATTGACCACCCGAACATCTGCATTTTGGGACTGGGCCACTTGGACATTGCGCCATTATCAGCGAGGGTTGCAAGCTTTGGCCAATTGTTTGAGAAAGTGCAATGGAACATTCCCCGACAAGTTAATTTAAGTTGTGTAAACATAAGTGTGTGTATATATATATTATATATATAACATATGCATGTGATATATATATATATGTGTGTGCGTAAGTGAGAAATATATTCTATGCACATAAATATAAACAAGAAGATATGTACATGTGTATGTATCTAATAGTGAAATAAATGTATATTTATGCACATGTTTATAATTATACATGCACATATATATATATATATATTATATCTAAATGTGATTTTCATTGTGTAATATTGTGTATATATATATATATTATATGTAACCCAGGCAACCCCGAAGTTCACGAAGCATACATGATGTGAGCAAGTTCACAGGGACGTTAACATCCCCCCCATGACGTGAGCAAGTTCACAGGAACGTCAACATCCCCCCCCCACCCCAAACCCTAAAAAATGCAAAAAAAGGGGTTTCGTGACCAGTTAACTGGGGGCGGCGTTGGGAACTAACATAATTATTGAAAATGGCCATTTATAGCTGATTTACCCGTTAAAAATGGTGTTTTTCTAGTTCGCTATGTTAAATTACCAGAGGGCAATGGTTTTCATTGTTGTTTCATGTTTTTTTAGGATCATCTCTCCACTGGTTACTGATGGTTACTGGTTTCGGTGGGTGTTTTTTTGCCGTTGTCAAGTCGCAGGCTTTGCGACTTTAGTGCCCAAAAAATTGGACATTTTCATTGGCAGAGGCGTAATCGAGGCTGGAGATGTCGATGGCCGTCTTTGGAGAGTTTTTTTCGTCAGTTTCTGGTGGTTGATTTGTGGAAATACATGGATAATCTGGATATATCTGGATAATGGAAATGCTGTATCAATACATAATGGAAGTACATGCACACGGATATAACTGGATTTCCGGACATGATGTATCATTACATGCAACATGGGCATTGTGTTTGTAATATCTTGCAACAACAGTAGCCTTCAGCGACAGCGATGAGACAACAAAACATGGTGATCATGGCGGTGCGATGTGAGCCGCCCCAGCCCGAAGATAGAAATCCATGGACAGCATTTGAAATCTCGGCCATGTTGTTTTCCTTAATGCTGCATAGCCTCCCCGTAGTTTAAGCTGGCAACGGAAATCACCCCTTGATGAATGAATCTGGGATGTTCCCGTCGAAAAGTTGGGATGTTCCACTGCCATGTGCTAGGTGGGTAGAGTGGATGGCGTACGTTTGGCCGGCGTCTTTGTGCAACTCGGGCAGAAAAACACTCGTGACTGGAATGATCCCCGAAGGCATGGATCCCACCCTGAGGCAAGCGGGTCCACTGGCGTCTCCCGACTATTCCAAGGCCGTCAAGGCTCTTGTGAGGCGTGAATCATGCGCCATGTGGCTTGAGTGGTTTGATAAACATTGGAGGACAAAAATGAGTAGACTTGGGTGTACCAAAGTATGAGATATTCATTTCATGTTTAATTATCTGAATAAATAAATATATATGTGTGTATACCACATGATACAATATAATAAAATATTTGTTTTGATGATGATGATGATGATGATGATGGTCATGATGATGGTCATGATGATGGTCATGATGATGATGATGATGATGATGCTGATGCTGATGCTGATGATGATGGTCATGATGATGATGATGATGATGATGATGATGATGATGATGATGATGATGATGATGATGCGACGTGGTGTTATGTGGCTTCCGTAGCACTTACGAACATGACAACAAAGCGTCACAAGTTTCCGCTGCCATCGACACACCTAGAAGGGAAAGGTCCTTCCTTACGCAGGCATTCAATGATGTTGTGGAGGGAGATAGACATCAGGAAACCTTAATTTTTGTAATTTGGCTCCCTGGTTCGTAGTGTTGCGCTTGGCAGAGGTATTTAGCTTTCAATCAGATCTTCAAATCTCTAAAACCAGACAAAGTTAGACTCTTTGCTTGGTCAGATCGTGAAAGATCACATGTACTGCTGTGACCTGAAAAACTGCAATGGCGCTGAATCTCTAGGAATACAATGCTCCATGTATTTATCCAAAAAATATCACCATGGAGCATTAGGTCTATCTTCCCTCCATGGAAAATTTGGCACAGGTGGGGAGATCCAAATCATCCCTACGAGGGCAACAGCGAAAACCCTGGCTGCTTGGCGGTCGGAGAGGTGATGAAAAGACAAGCTGAAGAATCACAAGCTGAGCAGTTTCACCCAAGTTTCATGGGATTCATATAAGTCCATGTTCCTCCTTCCAACACCAGCTAGGCAAGTACATTTTAAAATTTCATTTTAAGATGTTGGGTTGAGATATCCCCACAAATAGGGAATGTCCCATGTTCATCATGTCTATCCATTGTTTCACCAAACTATTACCCCTATAGTTTGATCTTTTCACTGATGGGTTTCCTCTACCAAAAATCACTCATGACTATGACCTGTGCCTTTGGTTGCAGGCTTCATCTATGACTTCATTGCGCGCGCTGGGGGTCCAGATGTTGAACCAGTAGGCACGGGGCATGGGTATTCAGTGCGCTATTCGGCCCTGCGTCGCTGATTTTTTGGGTTGGGAAGTTCTGAAGAGTTCACTCTTTGACATTGAATTGTGCATACGTGAGATATTGTAATTTTTGCTAATTAAAGAGAGAGCCATGGCCATGTTTTGCTTGCCATTGTAGTGATTGTTCATGGACTGGCTTGTGAAGCCATGCTTTGGCTGTCCATCCTTTGCTTTAGACTCTGTTGAAGATTATTCATGTTGACAGTTGACATTGGACGGTTCTATTTGATGGTACAATCTATGGAATCTCTTTCCAAAATCCACGTGGCAGACTCAACTGCGGCCACCTTCATATCAGTGGGATTGCTGCCCTGCAGGAGTTGACACGATGCTAGAAGTCAACAATGGCTGGGTCATCACCGACAACACTTGGCTTTGGAAAGCAGATCATTGCGTCCACAGTTCAGGTCAGCGCTTGGAAGGAGAAGACAGTTTTATGATGTTTTATGAATCTGCAGATGAGCAGTGTATAGCAGTGTCAAGTGCATTGATTTCAATGTCATTGAATTGTGTCTTGGGGAGAATGATCCTGTGAGACAAGACTTGCCGCAATTCATTGCTGTGGACAACACAAATCTAGATTGTAGATGATTGCAGTGCGTTTTCACTTCGCAGCAGTAGGGTTTTTTTTGCGGTGTTTGTGTGTGACACTTTTCTCAGTCAGGTGCTCTTTGCATTCCCCAGCGGTACGTCAAACACTGCTTAGTTGTGAATGCGGACAACGTGCCCTTGGACCAAAGGATCGGTAGGTAAGCAGACCGATTATGAATGTTGAATGAATCTGGGTAAATTATAACGACCTCACTGCGACCTCACTGGAACTATGGTTAGTAAGGGAAATCATCCCCAAATGGACTTAATTCAGGTTAGTGAAATATTATAATTTACCCAGATGAATTGCTGAAGTACTGAATGAATGAATCACTGGATGATTTTCTTGCTTCATAGTGAATGAATGTATGGTTAATGGATGGCGATCGTGCTGAGTTTTGTGGATCGGATGGCCCATGAAGTTCCATCTGAGGTGCATATGTACGGTCTTATGGCGGAGCATTCGAATGATGACATCGTGGTTTGGAATGGTGAGCATGGTGACTTTGTTGCGGTGATCGGCGAACCAAAAAAAAAAAACGCCACCTGAAATGAGACATATGACGATAATGGACACAGAAAATTCCAACCATGTCCAATCTGAGAGGTGTGCATTGATTTTTGCTATGGCCAAAGACGGTGATATCATCTGATATTAAGCGGGGTTGAAAGTTGCTGTTACACTCTCGTGACCGATGTGTGCACCTATGCCTGCCAGTTGTCAACTTTGGTACTTTGCAACCTGACAGTTGAATGCATCTTGGCATTGGAGCACACCTCAGCTTCATGGAAAAGTTGCATTTGCAAGGAAAGACGTATTTCTTCCAGAGCGAATTCAAATACACCATGGGGGTGCACAGCCAGCCAGAGACCTGGGATAACGTTCCTCATGCCGTGACTTGGCAGCCTGTAGATCCTGTAGCTTTTCCGCAGATGTCACCAGATGTCACCAGCTTCCAAGGTCAGCTATAGAGTCAATGCTGAGAATCACATAGCACTGGCCATGGGCATTTATGCTTCTTGGCAAGGGGAGAAACAGTCCTAGGGGGGGCAACATTTGGTTATTGCGGTGGTACTGTATCTAGTAAGTCGAGTACTTGTAGCTGAGTTTCTAGCCTTTTCTAGTATACGAATGTATACGACTTCAATTTGTAAGCCTGGAATTCAGCAAGTCCTATTGCTTTCGGTTGCTATTCCGCGACTTCTAAAGAGATCCCAGGGCTGGATGACAATTGCAGATCTCAGGGCTTGGGCTCAATTGAAACTCTCAGATGGCGTGCCTGAAAATGGGCTTCCACTAAATTCTATTAATTAGATTGTCAGATAATCCCATTTTTTTGATATTTGGTGGATTTTGGTGGTTCATTCTGAGCATTCCAAGAGAAGAATGCGGGGAAGCTGACCTGACAAGTGACTGGAGACATTCCCGGCTTCTGGGCTTTGTCGGTAGGCCCCACCACCAAATCATTGAAATACGAGCGATTGCACATGGTTTTTGTATGATTTATAGTGAATTAATGTATGTTCCACCCCTGCTTGAAAATGGAACCATTTTTTTGTACCGCCTCAAAGTAGGATGGTTGCCAAAAATATGCAGCTTTTTGGGAATCCATATCGGAAGAACGGGCTGGGGCGCCACCACGCTGCTGAGTGCGTTGTGTTGGCCGAGCAAGTGGACGATGACGCCACACCCATGGCCAACGTCGCTGTGGAAGGCAGGGAAATCGGCTGCAGATGTCCTTTCCATTTCTTCAGATGTCCAGTGCTGAATGTGTGACACTCAGAAAAAATGCTCCATCAATTGCTGGACATGTTTCAGTGAATTTCAGTGTTTCGTGCGAATCTTCAATGCGACTCTGCCATCAAATCCATTGGCTTTGGAGGCGGATTGAGTGCAATCGCGGTGGCGCATGAGGATGCCTACATTTGGGGATTCAAGGCCAGGGCCGGCTCCTGGGGCAGCGAGTTTTCTGACGTCCAATGCTGTTCAGGATGTGGCCACCCTGAACTGGTTCCTTGCTTGCAGGGGCACGGGTCACGGGGGTCTGGCATGTGAACTGGAGGGGTAGCTTGAAAAGAGAGGAGCAATTGATCAGAACCGAATTGACTAGTTAGATTTCAAGAGTTGGTGGTAGGATTTTGAGTTGCCTCAAGTGGGGGGTTCCAAGAAGTTTGATGCATACCATTCTACTCATTGGTATTTCATCATCTCTACAGTGGCTGTCCCAAGGAATATGAATTGGCCAAGAGATTCCAAGCTGCGATGCAAGGCAAGGGCTTGGATCCCGAGCCTGCTGTGAAAGGATATGAAAGGTATTTGAATCTAAGATGAAACTCGAGATATGACTTGTCAAACTCTGTCGAACTTATGTTTTCATGGAAATTCATGGAAATTCTTTGAAATTAATGGAAACTACATCAAATTACATCCAAATTGTCATGAAAATGATGTCAAGTCACCCATTTTTTGGGGCGGGTAAGCCATGATACCTGCTGCGAGGCCTGGTCCTCCCGGTCGACCTCATGCCTTGATTCGATGGTTGAGGCTCCGCGATGAGTTCGTTTAAAAAAAACAAAATCTTACATATATCATATATCATATATATACATAATATATATCCCATAGGATCCATGTATGCCATATATGGTAACATGGATCCCATCAATATACCCCAAATGTTAGCATATATACCATACATGGATCCTATGGGTATATATATATTATCACAATAATTTTTATATCCTTTATAATAATTTATTGTACAAAATAATGTAAAATATCAATATCTATATAATTCTTATAATTGATTATATAACTTAATATAGATTATTAATATGATTGTTCCCCACCTTCTAGGTGAGGGTCTCTAGATTTTTGTTTCCCTCTTTCCTTCCTACTTCCTCCTCTTTTTTCCTCCTTCTTCCTCCACTGCGAGCTCTAGATCTTAGTAAGCACTGCTAAACCTGAACCGCCAATTCCAGATCTCAGTGGGCACTGCCGGACCTCAACACATGCCAGCAAGAATATCAGAATCGATGCTAGGTAGAATATTAGAATGAATGCTAGAATAAATGCTAGAATAGAAAAGATAGATGCCAAATAGAATGCCAGAACAGAATATCTGATAGAATCCTAGATAAAATAGTAAATATCAATATTGAAAAAATGTAATATATAATATTTTGATTCCGGTGGTATTCGATATTTATTTTTGTTTTATATATATATATTGGATTATTTTGGATTGATAAATGAATTTTATAAAGAATTTGGATATAAATAATTAAATTTATAAGATTGATTGTATTATTTGTTATTT